ATAATAGAAAGAAAATAGTATATATAATTTAGTCTATAAATCTTTCTACTTATATTAATTATAATATAAGTATTAAATTTAAGTCTTATACCTAGTAGGCTATTAATAATAAGATAGACTATAATTTAAGGCTAATTAAAGGTATTAGTCTTATAGTATAGAAGGTAAATATAAGATATAAGCTAGACCTAACCTTATCCCTATACCTAGGTAAAGTTAATTTATACCTAGAGATATATATTTAGGTCCTTTAGTATAATAGAGTCTAGACCTAGGAGACTTACTCAGGCTTATAATAGATTATATAAGAATTAATAGGCTTTTAAGTTAATCTCTTAATATATTATATAGTAATCTCTTAAGATATGGACTATAGGGAATTACTAACTAGGAAAAGACTAAGCTATTTATTTATTTTACTAGTAGATCTCTAGGAGAGAGGCCTTCCTATAATTAGAGCCTTAGAATCTTCCTCTATATTAGTAAGTAATCTAAGGGGGTGAAATATAGTAAATATAGTAAATATAGTAAATATAGTAAATATAGTAAATATAGTAAATATAGTAAATATAGTAAATATAGTAAATATAGTAAATANAAATATAGTAAATATAGTAAATATAGTAAATATAGTAAATATAGTAAATATAGTAAATATAGTAAATATAGTAAATATAGTAAATATAGTAAATAAGCTAAAATTACTACTTAATGAACTACTTCCCTCCCTAGATATAGACTATTAATTAACCTCTAGTAAGATGTAGTTAAAGCTAAATAGTAAGTTACTAGCACCTAATTAGAGAAATAGGTAAGATATTAAGGCTACTCTACCTTAGTCTTCTTATTATATTACTATAGGCTCTAGGTATTCTGCCCACTATGGATAAGCTAAACTTCTTAAGATAGTATAAAACTAACTTAGATACAGTACTTCTAGGAGAGTTATATAGGAAGATAACTTTTAATATACTATGCTCTAAGATATAAGGTAGAAAAAAGATAATTTCCTTTTTTTTTTTTAGCCTATAATTATAGTTTAGTCTAATAATATACCTAAACTTACTAGAGTAGATAATGCACCTCTAAGTATAATTAATAGTTTAATAGAGTATAGTTAATTTTTAAACCTATATTATTATCCTATATTATATTTTCTAAGCTGCCTCCCTTCTCCTGCGCAGAGATAATAGTAAATAATTCTAGAGATTATATTCTAGAGTTATTAAGTAAAAGCCTTTATGGAAGAGTAGCTACTATAGTACTTTTATATTTCCTATAAATATAGAGATTACTATTTGCTATTATTTAGTTATTATAAGAACTACTAGTACTTATTAGCTAGAAGGATATAATAAAAAGCAACCTAAGATTATCTTAAATAGTTATTAATAAGAACTAAAATATATAAATACTAAGTAAAATATCTATTACTATACTATATTTATAGTTCTAATAATTACTTCTTTCTATAAAGAGGCTTATAGCAGTGGATATCTTTAAGATAATATACTAATTCTATTAATAACCTATATTCTTATATATATACAGGGTGCTGGTAGTGAAACTTACTAGATAGGTTCTAGTAGCTAAGATAAGATTAAATATAACTATACTATTTACTTATATCTAGATATTACTCTATTTATTAGGTTAGCCCTAAGCTTATATTACCTAGATAAAAAGGGCAGTAACCAGGTTTTACTAGGTAATTCTAGAATATTATTAGATTATAGTAAAGTAATTTAGTAGGCTTACTAAGGTAATCCTAATAGTACTAATACTATTTATTCTAATTATTAAATTATAGATTATACTTATAGTAAAACTCTATAAAATCATCTATACTTATTTAACAGAATCTCTTTTAATAATAATAATAGAGATATAGCTATTAGTGATAGGCATAGAACCTTCTAGATTAGTAAATAGTAGTATATATAAGTAGGGATATCTATATTAGTCTACTAATTTACTATAAATATACTTACTATTAACTAGTTATAAACCTGATTAGTAGGTAACTAGATAGTATTAGCTATAGATTATTTCTAGTATATTTATAGCATCCTACCTAGCTAAGCTTTATATAGTTAATCTAGTTAGTAAAATCTAAGTAAGATAGCCCTGCTCTAATATAGCTTAGTAATAATAGTAGAAGAGAGTTTATTTATAGATACTTCCTATTTAAGTATTCTATTAGACCTTCTATTATTATTTAAGTTCCTTAAGATATAACTTATCCTTTTAATTTTAGACTTAGTATTATTATAGATAAATTTAATATATAGATTCCTAGCTGTTAGCTTTTATAAGTTAGGTACTAAGAAATATAAATTCTTTATTAAGTATTATAATATCCTCTTACTCCTAGAATTTAAATTCTGCCTTTACTAATAGAGACTACTATAGATTTAGATTATAGTATATACCCATACTATATTAATTTTAAATATACTTATAGTAGGATATAATATTTAAGTAGGTTATAGGCCTATCTACTTTATATATAGGATATATATATAACTAGCTAAATATATATACTTTAGTATAAGAGGTATACTTTATTTAAGCTATCTAGAAGTATTTCTTATCTATAAAATATAAGTAGCTTAGATAGTAATACTAGATTAATATATTTTTTTATTAGTTTCTATTAGTACCTATTAATAATATATATAGGTAGTAATATTTAGTTTATACCTACTCTAATATCTAAGTATAGTAAACTCTTTTCTAAATATATTAGTACCTCTTACCCTACCTATAGAGGTTTTATAATCTAGCTTACTAAATAGCCTAAATACTAGAGTATCTAAGAGGTCTTTTTAAAAATAGATCCTAGAGATAATATAGTTAGATTATAACTCTAAATTATTAATCTTAATAGAGTCTACTTTATTAAGGATCTTAGTATATAATTTATAATAGTAGAAAGTATAGTTAGTAAAAAATAATAAAAGTATAAAAAAAATTAAGTTAAAAAAAAGTAGGACTTCCTCTTTATATATCTTATAAAAAATATATATTAGAGATTCTTATTTTTTCTTTCTCTAGTACTTCTTTATAAACTCCTAAGCATAGGTTAATACTAATATTAGAATACTATTAACTAGTTCTATAGTAAGGATAAAATACTATATATAATTAGCCTTAAAAGCCTTCTACTAAAGATAGATAGCTAGATATAAATCTTATAGTAAGTAGCTATAGTACTAGCCTAGAGATTTATATTATTATTATTATTACTATCCTTCTACTAGATAAAAGATTATTAAGCTATTAACTTATGCACCTCTTTAGTTTAGGTAGATAAAAAGTAATAGAGTAGAATTAATATAGTAAGTTATATTCTACTCTAGTTAGGATACTAGCTATAGTACTTCTTAAAGTCCTAATACTAGAGCTATATTAGAAGGATAGTTAAATTATTTAGAGAGAGTCTATCTCTAGATATTTTAATATTTAGAAGATTAAGTTTAGTCTTTAAGTTAGATATAATATACTTTAAGGTTTATTAGTATATAGACTATATTAGGCTTAAAAATCTATACCTTTTTTAAAATATTAGATATATTCTTTAGGATATAGAAGTCCCTTAGCTAAGTAAGAGCTATTTTAAAGTCTTAGTAGAAATTCTTTATAATTTCTATTATAGGCTTTTCCTTAATCTAACCTATTATATTTCTTATATAAAATTCTAAAAACTCTTTATAGATTTTAATATCTAGGGGAGAGTAGGTAGTAGGGTATAGCTTAAAGAATCTAAGAGAATAAGATATAACCCTCTATAGATTTAAAGAATAAAGATCTACTAGTTAAAAATCTTTATACTCTACTTATACTATTTAGCTATTTATAAAAGAATAGCTTATTTAATCTCTTTATTATTATAATTATTAAGGTTAATTATGCATGTAAATTTTATAATAGGTTTATTTAGTATACTATCTAATTAGTTTTAAGTTATAGATAAAGGTATAGGAGTAAGATAGATATATTATAGATTTAAATAATTTCTCTCTCTTATATAGGTACTATTATGCACTTTTATTAAAATATAGCTTCTTAGTAGTTAAGTATAATATATTTAGGTGCCTAAATATTCACCTAATAGCTACTAGAACATAGGTGCTAAAGTAGTAAGGGAACAGACACTAGGGTAGGTGAGCACTGATATATAAATACTATTGTATGTTTTTTTTTTTTTTTTTTTATTATTTAGTTCTGTTTATTGCTTGCTTCTCTATGGACATAACTAGGTATTGTTGACGCCTGTCGATGTAGTGGGAAACATTTGGCGTTATCCCAAACAGATACCAGACCACCCCTGCTCAGTCTTTGCTGCATAGGCGCCTAGGGGATCCACTTGGTACCTGGATTAGCCAAGCAGACTACGCTCACAATCAATACAGGATTACAGGATATGTGGTTAAGGAATTATAGTCAATAATTAGCAGGATATATATTACTTCCTTACTATTTTTCCTCCTCTTTTTGCTTATCAGACTGAAATAAAGCAAGACTCTTTAATAGAAGACTGAGCTATTGTTTAGTGGCATCTAAGGTACAGACTTAATTAATGAGGTATGTGTTTGTTCTGAAATGGAATAATATGTTGTAGAAGGCGTCCACTAACAGCAATGAAGATTTAGGCGCTAAGAAAACTGGGTCAAGGAGCCCTTCATGGTCCAAGCCCCACTTACCGGAAGAGGCTACTTAACTAGACATGTCTCGATAACAAGCTCTTTTAGGAATTCAAGAGGTTCCATCCTCAAGCCCAGGAGCCAGAACTTTTAGAAGATGCACTACTGTTAACTCACAAGACTGGTTTGATTTTAAGTGAGACCATTTCAGAAAGAGACAAATTTGCAAAATGGTTGCTAAATTGTGGTACGAAGTAGTGACATAAGTGAAGGTGAAGATGTGCAAATGGTTCAAGGAGTCGAATGAGGCGGAAGTTTCTTCCAGTCACACGCTCATTAGATCAAGGAGCAGTATCACTGGAGGGACCAACCCTGGTCACTCGCAGCCAGCATACCCAAGTACCAGAGTCCAAGTAGAACAGTTAATTGGGGTTGAGAAGCGCTACCTTTGGCAGTCCAGGGAATGGATGCCGACAGCTCCAGATTCCCATTCCTGTCAAGCCTTCGAACAGCGACAAGCTCACAATCAGTAAGGATAAAGCCGTAGCGCGTATTGTGTTGCTTCATATAGAAATTGAGCTGAGACAGGACTTGTTTGAACTCCATCCGATTGCTTGGATTGGGATGATTTCGCAGACCCAGCGACCACTTGTATGAAGGCTTGATATCCCCGGGCGCTCTGTTCGGTCTCGTTTTCGCTGGAAGGTTTGGGTCAAAGAAGGCTTGGTCGGGAACGTAACCACCAGGTGTCTCGGCCATTGAGCCAACATCGTAGTGTAAGACTGTAAGGCCGGCTAGCTGTCGGGTAGAGTCCATATAAGCGAAACCGCATCGGAGGGCGCGTATGACCCGGCTGGTCAAGTAGCTGTCAATGCGGGAACGAACAGCACTTTCGGAGTTAATTGGGCGCGGGGGCGACGGTTGAACTGGCTCATCCATGATACGTGCTGTTTCTAGGACAGCACCGTATTGTTGCTGGATTGAAGCAAGATTAAAGTCTGCCCAGTGGCCCACGTTGTTGATATCGGCAGCCCCGTAACGTTCATTTCGTGTGTTTTGGGGTGACTGACCCTGCTCAATGACGGGCAGCGGATGGAAACCGTGCTGCAGATAGGCCATGAGCGTAACCTGATTTGCCATTGTAAGCTGAAAGCAGTGATTTCGCTTTGTAGGGTGATGAGATGGAATTTCCTCTGCAAAAGTTAACACCTGAAGCAAAGGAGCAGATATTTATACCTCAGCTGGATCATTTTGTCTCCAGTAGGGGACTATCCTTATCAATGTACTTTTGCCGGCCAGCCTGATGTAGCTTGACAGGTAGTGAGGAGCCGCGCGCGTCCATTATCAGTCTAAGTATCATTTGCTATGGTTAACTTTGCTCTGGTATTAGCGGGAAGGGCTGAGGATGAATCCTAGTCCAAAACTTTTGAACCCCCCATCTGTATTTAGGAGTGAAGTGGACTTGCGGAGATCTCATTGGCCTGCATGTGACCCACCGCAAATTAGCCGAAAATGGACCAGGTGGGTCCAATGCCTTAGGCAGAAATGGCCGCCCATCCCAGCGTCATATCCCTTTAAACTACTCCGTACCTCCATCCAACTCTACAGAACCGAAACAGCCAAGTTTCATCTGCTCGCCATACGCCTTTTCCTATGTCAGCTCATTCACAGCAACACCAACTTAATGATGTCGGAACTTGATCTGAAGCCCTCGGAGGTTATTTTCCTTGAAGTACTCAACCGGAGCAAAAATACTGTTATCTTCAAGGTGGCTATTCATGGGAAGATATGTGTTATGAAAGTGGTAAGGCCGCGCTTCACTTATTGTTGACAGCGGCTTCGCTGAACGCTTTTAGTATCATGACAGAGGCAGATCGGATTGGGATCCAGTTAACCGCGAGGTCAACCTTTTCCTTTGTGAATCGAGCGCTTATCGGCGGCTGAAAGAGAAGGGTTTCTGCGAGCGAGGCGTCGTTCCTGATTTCTATGGTATCATCGCAAACATACAGCCAACACTCTGGCCGCATCTCTATATGTTTCTGGATGATAAGCTGCCTCCGAACGCTATCATTATCGAATACATTCCAAACATGAAGCAAATAGACCTCTCAAATTTCTCAAGGCAACGGGTGGAAACCTTCCGCGATATTCTCTTTCAAATGCATCAGGCGAAAATCCTTCACGGTGATCCTAAACCAAGGAATATGATGATCGCCAAAAATAGGGTCCTTTGGATTGATTTTGACTCTGCACAGACGTTCTTGGAGGACCAGGCGCTTACATCAATCCAAGACAAATGGTTCAAGGAAGAGGTCGAACTGATGGAATACTTTGTGGAAGCTTTGGTATGTTTTAGCAAGACTGGTAACACGCCTTTTACTGACTGCTGTGCAGACCCAAGATTTTGCCGAAGGGAAGATAAACCACACATACTCTTACTATTATGATTGGTTTGTTTAGAAAAGTTGAAGGGATGTGGACCGGTTAAATTTAGTGCGGCGTTCTCGGCGAGGGAAAGAATATTATTATTAGATTTCCAATGTAGCGTTCATTTGATTGGGAAGTGCGAATCTCAGAAGTTGGATCACAACCTGCGGCAAAAGTTGCATGCATCTCTAGCTCTGGATGGTTCGAGGCTGACTTAACGGGATTGGCTGTTAATGAGTATCTCAATTCGGGCGCTACCTAAGATTAGTGCGGGGTACTTTCTGTTCTGAATGAAGGACGCAAGCGCTGACACTGCCTCAAAGACATGGCGTGACCTGAGCCACTATGCAAGGGAGGTGCTCACTACACAAGACACTCGTGGTTTCGCCTTGGGATTTACGCCCTGTGGACCCGCATGCGGCTTTGGGAGTTAGATCAAGTGGAGGATATCTCTTCGTCGAAGAGTTCCGTGTCTTTTTCGATCTGAGTCCGGAACATGGTCGTTATCTTCTAGAATATTGTTGTGGTAGCGGAATAATGATAAGCTTTGAGCAGGATGTTCTGAAGTTTGAGAGGTGAGAATGTTTTGCTTAAGGGATTGAAAGCGTCCAGTCTACCATGACGGGAGTGCGCAATGATTGCTTTTATACATTCCAGATACAATAGGTATGTGAGCCTCACACCTAGAATGGAAATTCGTACTGTATTCTTGACGCCACTTAACGTCATGCTCTCAGCACTTAAAGGGGCTTACCGTTTGACCTGAAGAGTAACTCGAATTCGCTAGGATAGAGTTCATCCTACCCGTTCGCATGTTGAGGTATGTCAGATGCAAGCCTGGCTTGTAGTTTGTTCTTGCAAGCTGAACACACCAAGTATAAGCCACAAAGTGGAGACAAGTAGTGTTCAAGTTTTATGTCTTTTGTATACTCATATAAACCCACGGTGGTCATTGGTTGGTCAACTATTCCATAGTCTCCCTTTGAGACTTCTTGACTTTCATAAGCCGCGCCACTAAGTAGTCTTGCGACAGGATCTACTGTGACTGTGACAAGAAGTCGCGGCTTATCTAGTCTGAAGCGGAGCGCACAGGAATGATAGGACCACCTACCTGGAATTGTTGCAGTGCTGGACATGGAACAGCATACGTCTCGAAAAGCGTCTTTTGGCCGTCTGTCTATCGTCATCGTCTATCAGAACCCGTTCAAAGAAAGATACGCTGCTGCTGTATTTGCCCTGCAGCCTTCACGCGGTTAATCTGGGATGGCTGAAGCTGAAGTCCAGAGGATAACGTCATGCGACTTTTCATATAGACACCCGGATCGAGAGGGGTGAGACTATATTCTGAAGCCTTGTAATCTCCACTCGCCAAACCTAAGTCGCCTTTCGCAGCATCACCTTTGGATGTGGAGCTCACAGAAGAGAAGCCAGAGGATAATACCTCAGTAGCAGGAGTAGCAGCTCCGAATTAGATCCACGTTATCATTCTGCTTTAGCCTATAGATCATACATCTTCTTGGTAGAACAAAAAGCTACCCAAGAGACTCGATTCCGCCCAAGGCGTTATCGGTCCACTCTCGGAGTCGTTTCGGAAACGTCTGATCCTGTAAGGCGGGCGATAACTTTCCAGGTACGCCCACAGGTTCATAATACGTGCCGCTTACCACCTCTGAGCTCGTGGCGGCCCATAGATGATTTCTGATCCCGGTAGTCACAGGCACACAGAAGAATGGTGCAATAGGCTTGGTCAAGCGTGCAGGGGTACTTTCTTTCCACAATGACCTAGCCATGCCCGTAAGAATTCTCCCTGGATGTATAGCGACTGTTTTAATCTGTGGATAGTCGCGGCTGAGCTCTTTCATTAGGCCAATGAGGGCTGCTTTGCTCTGGCCGTAGCGCTTTGGATATGGCTGAAAACAACGTTAGATTCTATGATTTTTTCGTCTACGCCAAGCATCCGAAGAGAGAAACAAAAACACTGACCAGATTCGCACAGCTGGTCTTGACAAGGTCAAAATCGACGCCTTGTTTAGGTGCTGAAACGTGTCCCTCGCTTGACACAACAACGATGCGTACATCGGCGCCGGGCTGTTGCTGCGTTGTGTGAAGCAGGATCGGCATTACCAGACGGGTCAAAAGCGCATGGCCGAGATAATTGACCCCAAAATGGGTCTCGTAGCCTTCCATGGTTGTTGCCGGAGGGACGCGAATGATACCTGCATTCAAGATGAGAATGTCCAGACGTTGTTCTTGAGCAGCAAACGTCTGGGCGCATTTTCGAACGCTATCGAAAGACGCAAGGTCCAAATCGAGAAAACGGATCTCGGTCGACGTTGTGACGGCCGTTTCCACGGTGGGGGGTATGGAGTCTCCGTAAGCCTCGGAAGCAATCTGGTGGGTCAGAGCTTGTTTGGCGTCGTCGTCGCGTGGCAGATCTGCGATGTAGATGCGGCTAGGCCGGCCATAACGAGCCAGCTCTATGGCCGTTTGTTGGCCGAGGTCACCTGCGGCGCCCGTGATGAAGATGACCTTGCCTGCCATCGACGGGATATCTTGCGCGGGGTTAAAAGCAGGAGCACCGTCGCGAGACGCATCATTTTGCGATCCGAATAGAACAACGCGAATCATAAAATGGTACTCATGGCCAGAGCAAAGGTGGTGATGACCAGAAGACCAACTATGAGGGTGAAGAGCATAATCTGAAGGGTTGTGATTGTTCTGAATACGGGTTTGCTACAAGCGGAGGGTCATGCAGCTGGGTCAGGCGCTGTGGATGTTCGGAAGACTGGTGTCAGCGCGATATAAGGGAAAAATCTAAGGATAATTAGGGAGGAGAAGGGCTGACAAAAGAAAGGCCTCAGAAATGCCTCTTTTCCCGACTGGTTGACGTGGCTAGCCGCAGCAGCCTTGTCCAGAAGGGTTGCATCCTGGTAGTAGTAAGATATCTGACTAAGATTTACGCATCGAATATGGGGACCTGTGAATCGACGCCCTGTTTCGTCCCCAGAGCCCCAGGCACAATCTCCGAGGGAGAACTGGATATAGCAGTAGCCTTCGTTGGGATGCGTTATTGCTTCTTGTACTTAGGAGCGAGGAAGGCTGGTATCCCGAAACGCAGAGCAAGACTCGCAGTCGGCCCGAAGTCCACATCTTATACTAGTCGTAATTCACACTTCTTAGCTCTCTTGCCGTAAAAGGATCTAAACTCTTAAAGGCAGCAGCCACAGCCCGCGAGCTCAATCATCGCCCGCCTTTTCCTCCTCGGAAGACATGGCGGCTGGTGCAGCCCTCATCCTGAACGATACTTGCTACGACTTTTCAGTGAGCACCCGCTTTTCCCGTCCAGAATTCCAGTCCCACCGCGACCCCTTATTCCCGACCAGACTGAATAATAGTCTTGACAATATCTGCCGCACGGTCTAGCGCAGCTTTGAAGCGCTCGGCGACCGTTCGAGGGCTGACATAGCACACCTCCAGACTGCAAGTATGTTAGCTGCATGCTCCGGACCGGACGGAGGAGAAGGGGGGGGGAGGGGGGGCAGGGGCTACTCACGAATCTTCGTTCACGGTGTAGTTCATCCACACGTTCTCTGGGTCCTCCATCGTGTAGCCGGGATCCTGGGCCAGTTTCTTCTCGATCATGGTCTGCATGATCAGGCGCGGGTAGCCCCTCTTCCACACCGGGTCGGAGAACAGCTCGGGAACGGTGTCAGCGTCGGCGTCGGCGGCGCCCTCTTCGTGCGCCTCGTGGCTCATGACCTCAAGCACGTCCATCAGCCGGAAGTAGTTGCGGCCCTCGCCGCCCTTGACGATCTGCGCGTTCATCTCGCGCGCCGCCCGCAGTAGCTGGGCGCGAGCCTCGGCCCGTGGCACGCTGCTGTCGAGCGCCGCGTCGCAGAAGTCCACCACTGACTTCAGCACCACCTGCACGATCTCGGGCCGGCCGAGGTGGAAGTGCGCCGTCGACACCGTCTCCCAGCTTGCTGGTAGGTAGCCAAAGTACAGCCGGCTGGCGAGCTGGATCGTCAGGTCCACGGTCGCCTTGATCGGCGCCGAGTGGGCGAGGAGGACGGCCTTGCCGAACGACGGGACGAGGTGCGGCGTGTAGATCTTCGCCCCGGTGGTCACGGCGTACTTGTTGCGCAGCATCGTCATGCGGGCCTCGATCTCTGCCGTCGTCGCCACCAAGGGGATCTCCTCCAGGCTGGCGGGATCGACGACGGCTTCGCCGTCCGGACCGGGGATGTCGTTCTCTGGGTCCAGGGTGTCGATGCTGCCCTGTAGCCTCTGCGAGATCTGCGACGTGGTCATGAAGTCGATCATGGAATGCTCAAAGATGGTACCGGACTTGCCGTTGGCGGTGACGAGAAGCTGTAGTGTCTTGTCGTGCCAGCGGTTGAACGAGTCATCAAGGTATCCGAACCAGACCCATTCCTCACGCGTGACCGGGCTGTCATCATCAAGACACATGACAAAGACGGATTCCTCCAACGTTTTGATATACGCGGCGTTCCTCGCGTCCAGCGACAGGAGCTTCTGTCGGTTCTGGGACATAGGTAGTATATCAATTGCGGTACAGAGGCAGAGCAAGACCTACAGTGGCCCAACTGTCACGGTTGTCTGTCGTCAGGATGCCCGTCCAGAGCCTTTCCTCGAGGTTGAGGTCAAGGATTGCTTGGTATATTCCTTTCAGCTTCGGATACGAGACGATGTCATCTCCTTCCCGTAGTGACACGCGGAACAAGTGTCCTCTTCGCAACACGGCGACGTATTCCACCCCCGGATACCTCATCATCTTATCACAGCCCACGTTTGGCTCTCTCAGGGCATTGAAAAGCCACGTTAGACAGTAGCCGCAGTTTGGCCTCTCCCCCAGAAAGTCAGGCTTTAGTTTCCTAGAATCCAGGTCATGCTTAAACTCGCACAGGGCCCTGGTAAGCGCGGCCGCTCGCTGGGCCTGTGAGTGAGGCACGGCGCTGTCAAAGTGCGTGCCGAGAAAGCTGCTGAATGGCACCAGAGGATATCTTCGCTTGAGGTGCAGTGCCTTGAGAAGGGGACCAGCAATCCAGCTCTCCACGTTTGGGTCGTCGGCCTTGGCGCGAAGCTGGTTGTACAGCCTGCGGCCGAGACTGCCCGGTGCAGCGAGGGCGTGGGCCTTGCGGCTGAGCTCCGCATACTCTTCCTGCGTGTGGGCAAAATGGCCGATGCTGTTGAGGAGGTCGTTAACTGCCTCGTCAAGGTCGACAAGCGGGTGCCTAGGTAGCTCCTTGCTCGCCCTGCAACAGTAGAAGCTATGATTCGGCCCCGACTGGCCATTTGTTGGGACCTTCTCATTCTCCGCCTGAGTGGTGATCTCCTGCGGCCGTGCTTGGCGGATGTCGTCGGGGATCAGCTTCGACCGCGAGGCGACCGTCGCCGCCAGTGCCATAATGCTGCCAGCACCGCCCAGCTCCGACGTTTGGAGGTTGACTTGGAACGTGCGCACCACCCAGTTCTTCAACTCGATGCTGACGAGGGAGTCGAGACCGATGGTCGCAAGCGACTGATCGACCCTGATGTCGTCGATCGGCCGGTCAAGGAAGACGGCGAACTTGGTCAGCGTGGCGTCCCGGATGAGCTGCTCAGCCTCCTCCATCGTTTTCACACTACCCAGAGCCTTCTTCAAGTCAATCTTGTCGGTCTGCGTGGTGCCTGCAGTTTGCTTCCTCTGTGAATGGGCCAGCTGGCTGAAGACGGGATTCTCAAGAAGGAGCTCGTCGTTGGCGTCCAACATGGACTGGTGCGTGACGCCCTGGATTGTTTGGTGCAGGTGGCGGTCCCGGGCGAGACCGGTCGTGGCATACTCGATATTAGCAAAGAACTCGTCAAAGGAGATGTCCATAACACTGTTCTGCCGGAGAGACGCCCTCATGCCACCGATGGACATGTCGCCTTGTTGTGCCTCTTTGTGGGCGGCGTGCGCGTCGACGGAGACGGCACCGACGTTGACCGAGATGTAGTGCGTGTGAGGGTGGCCGGCGTGGGCACGAGCAAAAGCGTCTTGAAAGCCATTTCCGGCGGCGTAGTTGGACTGGCCAGCCTTGCCAACGACGGCCACGACTGAGGAGAGGGTTAGGAAGGAGTCCAAATCAGGCGAGGCAAAGAACTTGTCGAGATTGAGGGTCCCGAAGACTTTAGGCTGGAGTGGTAGCTTCCACTGCTCGATAGTCATCTGGGCGAATGTCCGGTCCTGTTCCAAAGTGTTAGAAGATCGTATCGAACTGAAATGCCCAAGTACTTGACGACTTACCCTGAGCACCAAAGCACCGTTCACCACACCCCTAACGGGGGGCAGCTTGGAGCAGTATGACGCAGCGCGTTTCATGCTCTCTTCATCTGTGATATCGCACTGGAGGATATGAAGTTCGCCCCCATGTTCCCTGACCGCAGCCATGTACTTCTGTTTCGTCTCGTTATCGATGGCACGCCGAGAAAGAGACACCACATGTCCGGCGCCTCGAGAGGCCAGAAACACACAGATCCGCGAGGTCAGATCACCGAGGCCTCCGGCCGCGACGTAGGTACTGTCCTTGCGTACCCGCAGCGGCAGGGGCTTGGCAGGGAGGCACTTGACCGTGGACGTAGGCTCGACCTGGAGGACAACCTTGCCGGTGTGCTTCCTCGAGCCTAAGAAGCGGAATGCATCCTCAATCTGATCAATGGGGTAGGTGGTGATAGGGTGTATGGGACGCAATGCCTTGGACTCGAGGAGGCTGATGATGTCGCCCAACATACGGTGGACGCGCCCGGGGTCTCGAGCCGACAGTGTTTCCAGGTCGAAGGCGTGGAAGGTGATCGACCTGCTGAATGCAGCCATGCTCAGCTGGGATCCTTGTTGCATCCCACTCTTGCTTAGCTCGATGAACGTCCCAAGGGACTTGACGCAGTCGAGGCTGTCCCTGAGCGCCTCTCCTGCCGACGAGTTGAGCACGAGATCCACTCCCTCACCATTGGTGAGTCGCATGATGCCCCGCGTGAGCGAGCCAGTCTGGCTGAAGAAGATATGATTTTCCGGAACGCCGTACTCGTCCATAATCAGCTTTCGCTTCGCAGCCGTGCTGACTGTGCAGTAGATGGTCGCGCCGATATGCTGCGCGAGCTGAATGGCCGCCTGGCCCACGCCTCCGGACGCAGCCTGGATCAGAACTGACTGGCCCCTCTCGAGACGGGCGGTTCCCATGATGCAGTGATAGGCCGTCACGTACGCGTGCGGAATGGATGCCGCGATTGTGGCGGACATCCAGCCAGGCGTCTTGTGGGCCAGATGTTCATGGACGCGCGAAAGGTTGCCGAACGGCTGTGAGCCGAAACCCATGACGCGATCGCCTACCTGGTACAAACTCCGCATATCTTCGCCCACAGCCGTTACAACGCCGGCAAACTCGCCAGCCATATGGGCGCCGGGAACCCCCTGGCCAAGAGCAAGGCTGACGTCCTTGTAATTCACGCCGTGGGCCTCGGCCCTGACCTCGATCTGGAATGGCCCGAGAGCAGCCGACATGTCATCGTCGACGAAGCGCAGCGAACTCAGCAGTCCCGGTGTCGCGATCTCGGCCTTGAGCACTCGATCGCCCTGGTAGGGGGCAGTCTCTGTCTCGTCGGCGGCTCCCAGCCCCGTACGGCGCCGGGCCCACTGCAAGAATTCGGCATCCGGCTTGACACGGGGGATCAGAACGCGGTCGTCCTCGTAGGCGAACTCCGGCTCCAAAGACGGCGCGTCCTCCGTGGCCGGCCAGAAGCGCCTGCGTGCCACGTCGGCGACGACCCGGGCCGTCATCTCCGGATGCAGAGCGGGTTGGCGGATGTCGAGGGTGCCGAGACCGGTGTTGCTGCTCTCCCGCCGGAGAACGCGGACGAGGGCGTTGGCCAGGCCCTTGTAGGCTGAGGCGGCGGGGTCAGCTGTGTCTTGGAGGAGCACCCATAGGACTCGGCATTTTGCGCTGAGGAGGGCGTTGACCGTCTCGAATAGTTGGGGCTGGGGGTCGAGGAGGAGCCGTTTTTTCCGCGCGGTCGAAGATAACATAGAGGCTGTCTTCCTGAGGTTTGACTTGCTCCCACGGGCACTCTATGGCATCAATATTGCGGGAGGCGAATTCCGCGGCGGTCTTTACCACATGGTCGTCAACGCCGTCGCTGATCAGAACGGCGCTGTGCCTGGCAAGTGTCCCGTTGCTTGGCGAGGGCTCAGCTTTGGCTACCATCATGCATTCCCAAGAAAGGTGGATCCCCCCGAACCCGTTCCTCGCCAGTACATCCTGCCACTGGTTGCGGAACAGCAGCGGACTGTCGACCCGGAAATCGTCCTCGGAGGCCCACCATCCGGTGAGCGAGCCGGCCACGAGACCAAAGGCCGCGCCTCTCGGCTCGATTTCAACAAGGACTAGGCTGCCCCCCGGCTTAAGCAGCTTGCGCACGCGGCTCATCGTCACGTCGATTTTCCTTGTCGCGTGGAGCACGTTGGCCACCACCACCACGTCGTAGGACCCAGGCTCGAAGCCCTGCTCGATGGGAGCCGCGTCCACATCCAGCGTGCGGAACTCCATGACGTCCTCCCATTCGGCAAAGGTCTGGCGTGCGTCGTCGAAGAATCCGCTGGAGACATCGGTAAAGGTGTATTTTTCGACGGGGAGGCCGACGGCGCCGTTCTGGCCGGAAAGCCCGCGGAAGAGCCATTTGGTGCAGCCTCCCGTCCCCGCACCGGCCTCGAGGACGCGAAGGCGCGGGTTCTTGAATGTAAGGATCTTCAGGTACGCCACTACGGCTTCATAGGGGCCGACAAGAATACCACTCTCGTAGTACCTCGATAGGAGATTGCCTTCCAGCATGACGTCCAAGGGCTGGGTTTCCCCAGTCAGGATGCGAGGGAGGGCTTTGCCGACGCGGGCAAGGAGTTGCAGCTGAGCTGAGGTCTCAGACGACTCGATGCTTTGCAGAACGCCCTTCTCTTCTTCCGCAGTCAAGCCTGAGATGATCTGACGGCAATAGTCCGAGGATAACCACCTCTTCATCCAGTCAAAGAAGTTGACTTGCTGCGGCGTCACCATGCCAGCATTGCTCTCCTCAACGTAGCGCACGGCATCTCGAAACCAGATGGACGAGGCCTGGTCCGTAACAAGGTATTCCTTGTCAGACTCCTGAATAGACACTTTGGTTCCGTCAAATCCGTGTGTCGTGTTTGCCTCTAAGCCCAGGGTAGACGAGAGCACCTGGCGGAATGAGCTTCCTGTCATGAAGTCGGCGTCAAGGTTCCAGTCGAGTCGGTTCACCGCATCCTGAACGAAAGGCCGGTCCTCTTCCTCGCGAGTCTCGCCAATGGCTCTCAAGTGGACAGAAGTCGAATGACCGGGCTGAGATGGCCATCCGCATCCTTCTGGAACACCCAACCCTCCCCCCTGGACGCTTTCGGGCCGTCAGCTTCGATCTGCATGGCCCCAGTCAGGATGGTCTCTGGCGTGGTGGAGAGACTGGCACTAATCTCCAACAACGGGATCTTGGTCGGAACACATGCAGCGTTGGTGACGAATTTCTTGAACAGGATTGCGTTGATCTGTAGGGTGGCGTCCAGGGTAGTCGGATGGATGACATGGGGCCTGAAGGACCGGTACGGCATCAAAGGAGCAATGTCTGGCGTGCATATTTCGCAGACGCCCCGGGCTTTGCCGTACCTGGCCGAAACGACTGGGGTAAATGCACCGCTAAACTCGTTTCCTGTCAGTCTTGCAAAGTCGTAGAACTCCGACTTGGTCATGTCTGTGTCGCAGCTTTGCTGAGAAGCTGCTAGGAATTGCATGGCCTCTTCCCGGCGCAGTTCCCCTTCTCTGGTCCCCTCGACTTCGTCATGTTCGCCCGTCTCGTGCTCGACCGTGATCTCGCCGGAGCAGTGCTCACTCCACGAGCCGTCAGCGTTGTAGGACCTGGTCCGGAACGAATCCCAGCGGCTGCCCTCGTACTGGTTCGCGGCCGACATGCTCAGTTGGACTTCCACCTCGCCGGAGCTGCTGTCATCCGGCTCGTTGAGGACGATGGGATTGGATATCGCCACGTTGCGGAGGACAAACTTGGCGATGGGCTTTTGGAGGCCTCTCATCTGCACAAGCTGCTTCGTTGCCTCCATGGCCATTGTCAGGTAGCCTGCACCCGGGTAGAGGGTGAAACCCTCAACCATATGGCCTCTGAGCCAGGGCAGGCTGTCCAAGTTGATAAAATACCTCAAGCGCGGCTCATGAATCGTGCTGGCCGGGTCGAACAGGCCGAGGAGGTCGTGGTGTGGGAACTGGCGGAAGCGGTGGGCCTTGCTGAGCCTAGACTCGCGCCAGAACGGCGCGAGGTCCCATGAATATAGTTTCATGTCCCTGATGATCTCTGGTTTTGTCTTGTCGGTCATTGTGAGCACCGCAGTCATGTCGACCACGAGACCGAGCTCGAACACTCTGCCAACGAGCGCCAGGGTGGACTGTACAGCATCCGTGTTGCGCTGTAGAGCAGAAAGGTACTCGAATTTGTATTTCTTAGCTCCTTCCTGTGTGAGAGTCTGGCGAGAAGGGCCCGCAAGGGCCGAGTGCGGCCCGATTTCAACAAATACACCCACGTCCATGTTGGCATCGTGCTTGATCTGGTCGTTTCGTAGCAGCGTCAACGCCTGGCTGAACTTCACCTGCGACACCAGGTTGGATGTCCAGTAGTCGGAACCGAAGCCAGTTGACTTGATGGCGCCGGTGACGCTGGAGTAGAAGGTCACGCCGTCCCTTACTCTGGAGGACTCGATATTGCCGATAGCCTCTTCCCGTGCTTCGTGACCACGGACTGTTTCGCGTCAGGGTATGCGTCAAACCACTCCTCGGCAGCCCAGCGGTCCGCCGGAGTCTCCGTTCGGCCGCTGCGGCCCTCCGACAGGAGCTTCCATAGCCTGTCCAGGTTACTGGCCCCGCCAGGGAGCCTGCAGCCGACGCCGATGATGGCAATAGGAGCTGGAGTTGGAGACATGGCTTGCTTGAAAACAAAAGGCAATGGAAAGTCGAATATCAAGAGTACAGAACGTGTTATCAAGGCTATATCGGTGCCTACGCGCCTGTAAATATATACGGTTTATATACGTTGGCGATGCTATGTAGTAATGCGTAGCTAGGGTCGTTACAAGCGATTACCCACTGCGATTTAGCCGGATTTGCTCCTCCCAACAGGTGAAATGCTCGCGGGATCTTGTTTCCTATCAAGTCCCCGCTAGAGTATCATCTCCCTCGAAAAGAGAGTTCTCCAATTCCGGGACTTGTCGCTTAGAAGACGCCAATGCACTAGACCCAGGCGAGGCCGGGAATGGGTTCATCAGACCTCCGCTCCAGGTGGGCCACGCGGGGATCACTCCGAAATTAGACCATGCCGAGAGTGGAGAGAGATAGCATCGACATTGCTGGGGACGAGGTAGCCTTAACTCTATCCCCTAGACTGGAGTCAAGCCCAATCCAACAGTGGGTAGCGTTATCCCCTCTGCCGATTGGTCAGAACATCAATACAGAAGATAGGAGCTTGTTAAATCCACTATTTGACAGGGCTTCCACCAATCCAGGGAATACCCGAGGAAAGTGGCTGTTACTCATCTTCTGTCTTACAGTAGCGTGCTCTGTGACGCTGTAGTCGAGTCATGGTCAACCGTGTAGAGAGATCCGGACTTCAAGTCTCTCCTTAAACAGTAAGGGCGATGTATGGATATAACTACTTTTACCCGATAAAGATCCCATGGATTCGCCCCTGTGGCTAACCCTTTAGAGCAACTTCTGTGAATGATGTACTCGACAGTTGCGGTGGACTTTGCGAGACCGGGGATCAACAACATGACTCGGGATGCAACCATGGGAGAATTCTGGGCTTCGGGGAAATACGCATTGAGGATTTTCCGCCTATGAACCTAATTCGCTTAATTCGCTTGTAAAGGATGAGGCTTTTCATCTGAGCCGCTGTTGGCGCTGACCATCGATTCCAATGGTCACACCCAGATGCATTAGGTCCTCTGCAGTATAATAGCCTAAAGGGTGGTGTTGGTGCGGAGTTGTATCAACCCCTGGTGTCTTACTGTGCTAACTTGATGGCGCTCCTATTATCTAGTCCAATAACGTATTCACGGGCAGTGGAGTAAGCTTGACTAGTCTTATGATGAACAACCGGCCGGGGAGCTCCAGTTGGCGGGGAGAGTATGGGGAGGAGTCTAGGAGATCCATCGACGGATATGCGGCTTCCAAGCCGAGATAACCTAAGAAGGCTAAGATGTTGGAGTCGTCGTGGCGCCGGCGTCCCATTCCTAGCGCCCGTTTCTATGCCCTAGAACATTAGCCGTGGCTTTTTAGCGCTTACAATATGACGTGGTCTTACTAGCTAGTCGCGCTAGATTCAGTAGTTAGAGATAGGTATCACTATCAGAGTAATATGGCCCATACACAAGCCCGTTGCCCACTTAGTTGAGTTCGATGGTGATAACCTGGTTTCTGCCGTATGTCGGCAAAGGCAAAAGTTCCTGTAGCTCACTATGTGGCTGCTGCTGCTGCGTATAGACATATTAATGCGGAAAGCATTAATCGCAGCATCGAGGAAGAAGTAAAGAATATGAAACTAATTGCAGTCGCCCTTGAAATAGATCGTATAGGAAGCCCTATACTGATTTACGATATCTACTCTACCTATATAGTAGTCATAGTCATCGATATCAATAGGATTTCTAATTTCTTCTTCGTTGCTGATAGCTGCTTCCGCTCGGTAGGAATAAAGGTTTCTACCAAATGGATAGTAGATAGTAGAAGTACTATGTTATCATCCTGCTAAGCGAGACCGCGGAACTGGTAGCAACATCCCGAGCTTGCATGCGACTAGACAGCTGTCTTCCCGTCCTTCAATACTTCCAGCTGCGTCTGGTACTTGCACCCCCCACATTATCTTCCGCAGTCGGCGGATTGGATGCCTGGAAAGCCCTCTCGGCGATGTATATAAGTAGTCTCTCATTTCTGAGGTTATCCCAGTTCTATATCCCTACAATGCCAAGGCCTTGAGCCCAAGAAGCTTCCTCTCTCTCTACATCCTCATAGATCTCAACTCTTCCATGGATGCTAGATGCTCAATTCTGTTCTCGTCTTGTCAACCGAGATCTCGCACATTGAACGACTGCTTTGTCCTTGATCCGAACATCCGAAATGGCAGTGGCTTTAGGAGCACTCTGGTAAGTGTCTTCGCGCTGCACTAATTCGTGATTTGCGAGTTGACTTACACTACATATTGCAGGGCCTGGAGTGTCTTCAACAAAGCTGTCATATCGTACTATTCTAGCAAGTACAAACCCGTGCCCTTGCCTGAAAAGCATAACTACAGCCACAAAGACGTGAGCATTATCGTTCCGATAATCGACACCGAGTCGACCTTCACCGAGTGCATGCGTCTCTGGCTCAAGGCCAATCCTCGTGAGATCATCATCGCAACCGTCGAGCGGAACAAGGCCCGTGTCCTGCAGCTTATCGAGCCACTCCGGCAGCATGCTGACAAGATCATCATCGTGACTGCGCCGCTGGCCAATAAACGTCACCAGCTGATAGTCGGTGTCAAAGCGGCTAGAGGGAAAATCTTCGCTTTGGTGGATGACGATGTTTACTGGCGCGTCGACACCGTTGTCTCCTACCTCTTGGCTCCGTTTGAAGATGCCGAGGTCGGTGCGGTTGCCGGTATACAAAGGTTAGACCCCCCAAATTCAATGCCCATAATGCCAATAATGCCCACCCTGGGTACAAATATGACTGACTGAGATTTCTATCAGCGCCGAGGTCCCGCCCGAGCGCCAAGATGCACGAGTCATTACTCCCTGGGAAGCAACTGCGACGTTTGACTTGAACCAGTGGAAAAGCTCTCGGGAGGTGCACTTCGCTGCGGATGGAGGCTGCTGGTGCCTGTCGGCACGAACACTGTTCATCCGTGCTTCTATCCTCCAGGACCAGAGCTTCGCCGATGCATACACACAGGAGGTCATCGGCCGCCGGATCGTGAACACCGCTGACGATGTTCGTTTTGACGGGGCTGGTATTCGACCGCGGATGGAAGGTGTCGATCCAGAATACCCCCGAAGCCGAAGTCACCACCAACATCCCTCGGGACCACAGGTTTGTGTGGCAGCTGCTTCGTTGGGACCGGGGGAACTTTCGCACTTTTCTGGGGTATATCTTTGTATTCCCTGGCTATAGAAAATTGATGCAGTAGGTCGTTCCACGGGGTTGTCTGGTTTGCTTTGTTGACTCTCTACTTCCAGGAGACACCCATACACGACATCCAAGATGGTTGAGCGCCTCGCTCGTCCCATCTGGGCCCTTGCATACGTTTGGGCTTGGCTTCAAACGTGGCACACAGCGCCATGGATCGCGTGAGTACTCCACCGGCCGTGCTGCATACATATGTTTGCATTCATGACTCTATCTCACAACCATTCATAACAGCTACGCATACATTGCTTGGATGGCCTTTGGATGGAACGGATACCTTTCAACGTACCGAGGATTCCTCAAACGGTACCCCTATTGTGGACGGCAAGTGTGGGCGTTTCTTCTCATGGACTGTATTGGCCCCATCGTGGACATATACGTCTACTTGACGATGAACAACGATAACTGGTTGACTAGGACAGCGGACACGAAGGATATTGATGATTAGATGGTCATTATGTTTTAGGTATGGAAGGTGCGACTGGCCCAGTGCTATGATTAAGATATATAAATATGCAGCTAGATCTCATTCTGTATTGTTACCCTCTTCTGATCAGGCCGACGTTGTAGATAATAATTATACTTTAGCAAGAAGGAGCCGTATAACTAAACAGGGGTATGATATAAGGCCAAGGGGGGGTAGATTTGGCAGTAAGTACGCATGATGAAATACTCAAATACTGTACACTCTTCCACCTGCCACCGATGGGTACAACCAGACGCTTGGTTCACAGTCCGAGCGATAAACGTTCTATTCTAGTTACATAATATCTACTTACCTAACTATGCGTGCACCGCATTGGCCATATGAGCCAACCGATGGCATCCTACCTTGTGGTTTAACAAACCCACCGGAGGAGGGTGGAACGGAGTCCTGATACCCCAAGTGCTATGAGCAGTCGGCGCACAGCAGCGATTCGGAGCTCTACCTATCATCCCATTCTGGTCGCCGGCATAAGCGCCAGCCCGCCGTGTGTGAGTGCAGGCCTCCACGCAAATCTGCCCAACCATCCATTGCGTGTTTCCTGTCAAGTACTGGCGTAGGTCCGGGGCACTCCACTTTTTCTTTCCCCATGGATCGCCGCCTAGGTATTGCTTGGATTCGTACTTTATTGATTACGATGCGACGAGCCGGGCGTGTCCTGGCACACTCCTCTTGAGCCAGGCCCCTCTTCATTGCTATCAAGCTATTTCTCCACGTCCTCCTCGGCTGGAGTTTGGGTAACCTGTCTCTTAGAGTCAGGCAATTGCCGCCACTCCATTGCGAAGCTTGTTATCCAAGCAAGGGCTGGCGTAGCAAGCGCCACCCAGAACACGTTCCGTAAAGCAGAATTAAATGCATCCACGACGGCACTCAGCAGCTCGGGAGGAACTATCTCCCTGAAACCACTTGCACCGGCCGCCACTACAACCGCACCATCTATTCCCTGCACCTTGCTGAGATTTCGCAGAAGCCCATCGGTGAAGAGGTTCTGCCCCACGCTAGGAGCCAGCGCGCCCCCAAGGATCTGGAAAAACATGATCATGACAAGGCCCGTTGGGATATCTGGCTTGCTGAGGACAACCTGCACCGCCAGGATCGGCATCTGGCTACAGATGCCATAGCCAAGCCCAGACAGGATTTGGAACCCTATCCACTGTCCGAGCGGACTGTCGGCACGGACTAGTTGATATAGACCCCCTCCGGTAGCCAAGACGAGAGGTCCGACCCACATGAACGGTACATAGTGCCCGAATCTCGACGCGATAGAGCCCGCGCAGAGCGTGCCGAGGCTGTTGGACACGATCAATGGGAGTAGATTGATCCCCGAGTCTCTGGCACTGGTGTTCCTGACCGACTGGAAGTATATGGGCCAAAAGTACGATTGCACTACTATAGCCACCTGAACGAGCATCATGAAGCCGCATGATGCCGAGACGGTACGACTTTGAAAGATGCGAAGAGGGATATTCGCGCTTGGAGTGATGTTAGCAAGTATGTAAGTAGGGACTAAAATTGCAACAGAAAGAACCAACTTTTCTTTGCCTCGGAATTGCAAGCCCAAGAAGGTAATCAAAGGAGGCCGAATCCGATCAGGCACCCGAACACCTTGGCATCAGACCATGGGTAGACAATGCCACCCCACTGCAATGCCAAGTTCAAACACACGGTTGCACCGAGCAGCAGAGTAGCCCCTGGAAGGTCAAGTTGACGTAACTTTTGGCCCCAGGGTAGGTCCCCCTTTACTGCGGGTGGAGGTTTCCTTAAGGTGAACCAGACCAGAACCAGCCCAACAGCTCCGAAGGCTTGAAACTTTTAGCTAGTGGTTATGGGAGAGGATATGGGCTTCTGCGTCGACAGAGACTTACGGAGATTGATCCAGAAAATAAACCGCCAAGTCAGCACCTTATTATCGGTTATCGCACCACCCACGAGTGGTCCAATAGCCGATCCAATGTTGTACATGCCCAGGACGATAGGCGACAGCATCGCCTGCTTTTTCAACGACACGCAATACGACAGAATAGTTGTCGTCCCGCTCACCAAACCAGCCGCGCCGATGCCAGAGACTGCTCGCCATATGATAAGCGCCATCGAGTTCGGCGCGACTGCCGCGACGATGGAGCCGATTTCGAAGACGGCCAGCGAGATACAGTACACCCACTTAATATTATAGAATGCGTAGAGGCAGCCGCAGGTCGGCAGCAGTGCCATCTGCGCGATCAAGTAGGAAGAGCCATACCAGCCGATATCGTTGAGGCTTTTGAAGTCGCTGGTGATGTGGGGTATCGCCGTCGCTTGGTATGACAATTAGGTCTGCTGCTCCCTCCGCCAGATTATGGGACGCACGAACCTAGAATGGTATTATCAATAGCTAGCACGAGGCAGATAGACATAAAGGCCAAGGTCAAAGAAGCGAGAGCCCATCCTTGCATATATCCAGTTGCAGGCTGCTGCTATGATCGATATTAGCCGATTAGCCAACTGCGTGTGTAAACGGGTCCAATGTGTTTGTATCCTAATACATACACGTAAAAGCGGAATGGCATATAGCGAAGACGCGCCTCAGGGCTTGTCTGGCTGGCTACTGTCAGGATATTGCGGGCAGCATCCACTGCTTCGAGCATGTATGCACCCTCTGCAGTCGACATGATGCCCTGGGGAAACAGTGATGGGGCACTTTTTGATTCCAAAGTCCTTGCGGGAGCCGTGTCTCCACCGAGGCGGTTGTGGTGGACAGTCCTGGAAAGGAGTGATTGGAAAGAGAAGGCATTAGTATACAAGCGAACGTATTCTTTGAAAATACGCAGCGTGCTTTCCAGCTTTGGTGATGTCTCCAGATCATCCCAACGGTCTTGCCACGCGGACATGGAGTGCCGGAAATCGTCCAAATAGCGATTGTAGTCCCCTCGCCGAACCATCTGGTTTCTTCGTTCAGTAGACGAATACAAAATGTCGTGCACGTTGTGAAGCAGTTGTGTGAGTTCAAGAGTGGCCTGTAGCACCAGTGCATAGTTGTGTTGTGCGTCCGAACTGAGCCGCAGACTTGGAAAGTCATCAACTGTAAAGCAAGTTGAGAGAGAAGGCCCATGCGACCAGAACAACTGTCCCATGCGCATGGAGATCTGTCAATCTGTAATGTACATAACTACCGGACCACTTAGTATCTCCAGATAATCCCGTGGGGGTTCATACATATCCATGCCAAGCGCTTTCGATTCTCCAGTCCAAGACATGTTTCCCGAAAGGATGCCTTGTCTAGACGGAGTAGGTAGGAATGCCTCACGGCCTGGCCAATAAGTGACCAGGCCATATTATCCTCGACCGCGCTCAGGTTCCCGGGGAAGAGCTCGGGATAGGCAGGGGTTTGGAGCTGCAAGTAAGGAACCCACTCTGCGAGAAGCAGGAGACCCTCGACTGACCCGACATTTACGGTTGATGGCGCGACCAACAGTATATCCAGTAAATGCTGTTTCAGAGCGCGCCAGCAATGTTGGTGAATATCGCGGTATGATTGCTCGTCTTTGGATGCGATGGTCAGAATCACTGTCAGCAGGAATGGCTCGTCCACCGCTGCCTTGCTCGGGTCCGTTGCCGCCAGAAGCCTTCTAGATGCGAGGGGACAGAAGGTATGGTAATTTGTAGCGTAGCTGAATAGTCAGAAAATATTGAACGCGCACAGGAGAAGGGGAACTCATACTGATTGATTAGGCGGGCCACGGTGTCCGTGCCCAACACCCCGATCACCAATGTTTCCGTTTCGGAGAGCGTCGACAGGAAAACGGGGGCCTGCGAAGGGACAAGTGTTCTATCACCAGCAAAGGGACTCGTTTGATGGAAATCCCGGGATGTCGAGTCGTTTGGATGATCGGAGGGCCGGGGGTCGTTCGCCGCGAGTCGAGCGAGAATCTGGAGCGCATCGTCGGCGTTTGTTAAATCAGCATAAATGGGATCTTCAGCTCTTTCCCCATGATCTCCACCCTGCCGGCTTGCCAGTCCGTGGTCCGCGTCGACGCTACTAAGGGGTGGCGTAGGTCCTTGCTTCTGCGGTGAGCGTCGAAATCGCGAGAAGTCGCCTCCGCGCCGCGACCCGGCCAGAATACACGCATCGCCGGCGCGAAGACATTCTGTACATGAGGATCTTGTTCCATCCGACAAATTTGTCCTGAGAGTCGTCAGTGAGGCGGATCGTGGAGATGACGCGACTTACGGATCACATTTCAGTTTCCGCTGGCGACACCGCTGGCACGCGCGGTAGAGACGGACGTTTCGACTACGAGTCATCGTACATGTGAGTTGCAGCGGGTTCTGGATTTGTCAAGCAGGAAAATATACGGATCTTCAGATGAACCCTTCTTTCTCAACCTCACTTGCGGCCCCGGCAATAGACGGAGATGTCTGTGCGGAGTAAGGCAACCATTCCGTGGATTGGGCTCTTGATATATGGATTACTCGCTTGTTACGGTATTCAAGGAACCCCATGGGCCGATGCTGCTCTCTTTGTGTCCGGACAACATGGCCGTTGTATATCTTCTCTGATCTGTTTAGGCCTGAAGAGGCAAGATTCAGTTTCGGTATATATGGGATCATAAACCCTAACCCTGAACCTTTACTTGATCGGCAGGTTTTCTACCCTGACAAAGTAGATCCTGAACAATTTTACAAAGATAGAAATTTGGATATGGTGCATATAGAATGTAGGCGGGGACTGTCTATGCCTAGATGATATTATGGTTGTAGATGTTTGTGGGCGGGTATAGATGGAATGAGGCAGGCGAGTACCTGGGCTCCTGGATTAACTCTATAAAAGACAGCACCTATATCAGTCCCTTCATGCTTCAATAACTGTGCGTGTAACTACCCAGGTAATTTAGCGACTCGCAGAGCAATAATATCATTTTACATCTGGGTAGTTTGTCGACCCATTTCAACAAACATGCAGGTTCCCCAAACCCACAAGGCCGTGGTGTATGACAAACCAGGCATTATTTCCACTCGCATCGTGGAGTTGGACACGCCTAGTCCGGGCCCTGGCCAAATCCTCGTCAAGATGTGGGTCAAGCTCCTCACTGGCTGGCATTTGGTCGCACTGACGTCTCAAACGCAGTACCCATTCTGGAATATGCCACTCCGACCTCAGCCTCATGACGAATACGGTAAGCACTCAATCCGCTAGTCATAGAGATATGAGGCTCGGCAATTTTGTCTAACTTCGTCAGTGGAGCTGGCTTCCAGAGCCCGTGAAAAGCGGCCAGGTTGGCGGCCATGAAGGTGTTGGCGTCGTGGCTCAGCTAGGACCGTCGTGCGAGCACTCGGGTGTCAATATCGGTGACCGCGTGGGCATCAAGTGGATCGTGTCCGCTTGCGGCAACTGTATGGTCGGGTGGTGCTAGACTTACAGTCGTGTACTTAATAATCCATTCCACCGTACCAAGACCGAAGCCTGCCGCTTGCGATGTCAGAATTATCATAAAGATATTGTAAATAAAAAAGGCCTTCAAGCTTATCAAAGTCCTCTTCTCCCCACCCTCCAAATTATATCCGGAGCATGTCAGCGTGTGAACAAGTGCCCAATCCTTCCTTTGGCGGAGAGAGGATGCTCTTAACTATGACTACATCTTGAATTACAATTGAACATGAACAATCGCGAGATACTAATAAGAATGACTTGCTTATTGAGATAGCGAAGTAAAGAGCGGAATAGGGAAGAAAGACTATCAATGATAAAAATGATGGTCACTAAATGTCCTGCACTTCAAGCAAGGAAGACCTTGTCTGACATCAGTATGTTCATTCAAGCCCCAAGCTGTCGAGCTTGAATCGTGAACGGTCGTCCGTCTCATATCTCGCTTGTATTTCCGAAGGAACGGCCCTCCAACAGCCCGGTGCATGGTGCAGGTATTATCCCAGACAACCAGGTCGCCTGGCTTTTGCCACTCAATCTCGACGGTATTGGCCTCGCGAGTGGCGTGCTTGAATAGGTAGTCAAACAGCGCCTGTGACTTTTCAGGAGCGAGACCCTCAATGTGGTGCACATGGGCCGCAATATACAAATTCATGCGGCCAGAGGGTTCGTGGAGCTGCACCAGTTTGTGCCGTCCCATGGGGTAATCGAGCGGGTTGACAGCAGAGAATGCCTCGGGGGCCGCAAGCTTGCGGGAGTGATGCATCGAGTGGCATGCCACGTAGTCGTTACCTAGCAGCTCCTCCTTGAGCTCCGGAGAGAGGTCGTCGAATGCTGTTCTCGTATCTGCAAATGCAGTGTGGCCACCCATGCCGCTTGGTGGAAGCTCGTGCGCCAGGAGCAGCGAGTACCCGGCACGACGGGGATTGAAGCTTGAGTCCACGTGGAAGAGATCGTTGCCCTGATGATCCATACTGATCAGCATGTGAATATCGAGGGGCTCGTCCGCACCAAAATACCTTGTTTGCTTGGCCTCGCGGGCTCTCAGGGTCGAGGATGGACCCATCGGCCTCAACATTGCTGACATCGAAGAGCTCGGTATAGTTGAGGCGGTGTTTCCGCCCAGCGCTGATGTACGGTTTCACGTCGTCCAATTCTCCGAATTTTCGAGAAAAGGCAATGTGGCCCTCATCTGTGAGGCCAGTGCTGCGAAAAACGACGACGCCGTACTGTTTTGTCAACCGTCTGTTAGTTGATGCATAGAGACCTGAAGCGAACCTTGGTTATTGCATCATATATATCCTTGAACACTTGATCACTCAAAGGAGACGAGAAATCCACACCGCTGATTTCGGCACCAAAAGTTGGGTGCAGGGGTCTGACCCTGATGTGAGAAGTGGTCCCGTCGGTGACAGTCATCCTGTATCTTTGTCATGTCCGCTAGCATACTGTCAGGACAGGCCTTTTAGTAGTTAACCTGCACGCGGAGGTGGATGATAGTTTCAAGGACTTCCTGTTGAAATCCTGGTCGTGTTCCATCTTTAGCCGGTTCTTTCGACCTCCGAGCACTTTCTCCGAGGTCATCCCTCTGTCCATCTATACCCGTCTAGAACCAGGTAAACTGCCCTCCGTAGCTATCTCCGTAGTTAACTAGTTAACAATTTGTTGATTTTAAATTTTTATTTGCTTAGCGCTTTCGTTGTCAATGCCTCTCTATATGTTAAACCGTTCAACATTTCGGCGTCACGGTGGAACAGTTTGCGAGCCCTCTACAGCCATCAACAATGTTCGGTCGACTATAGACGGAGGGATACGACTCTTGTCAATGCACTGCTGTTGAAGAACGCATTTACGAGAGGTCCCTATAAAGATAAGATAAATATATTCTGCTCGACCATAGCATAACGGTTCAACTGCCATCCCAGTCTTCCCATAACAGAAGTGCGCACCCAGCCGAGAATTGCCACACGCCATGATGGCATCGTCTGATTTTACTTTTGAAACCTTCTTTAATATCGTCAAAGGCGAGCATCGTACCTCTGACAAAACAGTCTTTGGTATTGATCCCTCAACGGAGTCGAGGTTGTGGGACGTGCCAGTGGCCACTACACGGGACGTCGAAGATGCCGTCGAATCTGCCAACGAAGCATTCAAAACGTGGTCCACAACGCCTTTTGAGCAACGAGTGAGCAGAATCTCTCAGTGGAAAGAGCTCTATAAGCAGTACGTTGAGGATTTCACCAACCTGCTTATAGCGGAGTGTGGAAAGCCGCGCTCCATAGCGGCCGGCGAGGAGAACGAGATCCTCGCTCTGTTCGACCACAACTTGCAGCTTCGCATCCCGGAGGAGCGGATCGAGGACGATACGCGCATTGCTGTCACGCGCCATGTGCCCATCGGGGTCGTCGCTGCCATCTGCCTGTGGAATTTCCCTTTGGTGTTATCCGTAGGAAAGATCCTGCCTGCGTTATTAACCGGGTGTTCAATCATCGTTAAGCCATCCCCTTTTGCCCCGCACTCGGCACTTAAAATGGCCGAGCTGGCGCAGAAAGTTTTCCCCCTGGGTATCGTCCAGGCCATTGGCGGCGACGACTCTATAGGCCCAGCGCTAGTCAACCACCCTGATGTCCACAAGATCAGCTTCACTGGTTCCAGTGTTACGGGAAAGAGGATCATGGCATCGGCAGCTGCGACATTGAAACGGGTGACCTTGGAACTGTACGTATTTCTCTCGAAAGATATGGGATGCTCGACATCCGAACAAGACATCTGGTCTCTCATGCAGCGCAATATCTAGGGGCGGTAACGATCCGGCGATCCTCTACCCGGACGTGGACATAGAGAAGGCCGCTGCCGAAGTGGTGCAAGGCTGTTTCGTCTTCTCCGGCCAAGTGTGTGTCGCCACAAAGAGAGTCTATGTGCACGAGTCTGTCTACGAGCCATTCTTGAAAGCCATGGTGGACGCGGCTTCCCAAATTGAGGTGGGCAAGGCTGACAACCCGAGGACGACGATGGGCCCGATGCAGAACAAGATGCAGTATGAGAAAGTCCAGGACCTGGTGGCCGACACTAGAGCCCAGGGCTACAAATTTGCTCTCAGCCCACGCCCTATCGCTTACGGCGAGGGCTACTATCTCTCTCCAAGCATCGTCGACAACCCGCCTCCGACGGCAAGAATAGTTATTGAAGAGCAGTTTGGTTCGCGTTGGCCCCATAACCGGAAAAGTGGTCGTGCCTGCTAATGTTATTGAACCCAGGTCCAATTGTGCCAGTCCTCAAATGGTCAGATGAAGCGGACGTCATCGCCTGCGCCGATGGAACCTCGTCAGGCCTTGGGGCGTCCGTGTGGAGTGCTGATACTTGTCGGGCTGAGCGGGTTGGCAGGCAGATGCAGGCCGGCAGCGTCTTTGTGAATTGCTGGGCCAAGACGACGCCGTGGGCGATGTTATCTGGGCACAAGGAGAGTGGCATTGGGGGTGAGTGGGGTTCCACCTGGTTTCTTCAGTACTGTAACACGCAGGTCGTACATGTCTTCAAGTGAGGAACTGTTAGCCATTTTTCCACTCCGCCAAAAAGGTGTCTAGACGACCATTTCTAGCAGCATATTCTGGTTGACAGGAACTTATATAGACAATCCATGGAACGAGACTTGGCAACCCCGCGCTGCAATACCCGTCTATTGCCAGCTCTAATCCCGTCGATAGACCTAGCGTGAGGAGCAATCTATGATCGTTGTTCCCGGATAGTCAAATCGTCTCTAGCTTGCATGGGTTGCTGGCGACGAGACCTTTCGTCACTGGCAGTGGCTTGCGCGAAACAAAATAGCATTTCAACTCCGCCGGTTTTAGATGACTGCAGGCAGCTCACAATCTTCTCCTAGCTGTAGACCAATTCGCTACATTATGATTGTTGTTAAGGCGGTGCTCGAGCTAAGCGTCCAATGCCAGAACCCCCAGCCCGCCAGGATCCCTATATGATGAGCGCCGAGGAATGCTATGTAGAAAAGGAATAGCTAGAGGCAATTAGCCTAGAATGGGTGTAGACGGCTAGAGATGGAAGGTGGAACTGAACGCATTTATACCTCCACGGGTATAAAACTGCATATATCACTTTCCCCTTTGCTACTACGCGGTTTGCCTTCCCTTGCGACGATGATCACCAACATATATATTATCACAGCCATTGCTGTGATCGGTGGTTCGCTATTCGGCTTTGATCTGTCTTCGATGTCTGCCATGTGAGTTATCTCCCTGAAAGAGATCAAAGGAATTAACTGCATTCTAATCGATGTAGCCTTCCTACCAACCAGCATAGATGCTATTTTAATCAAGGACCCGATGGGCCTCCATCAATGGAGCAAACCATTGTTCGGGCCCCAATTCTACAGTACAAGGTGGAATCACTGCCTCCATGTCTGGAGGCTCCTTCATTGGGGCGTTGATCTCGGGGTTCGTGACTGATATGTTTGGCCGAAAATTGGCCATCCAAATGGGATCTGTCATTTGGTCAGTCGCGCCACAGGCGCAGAATTGAAGCCAACTGACATTATGCACCCGCCAGGCTTATCGGAAGTTCCCTCTGTTGTGCCTCTCAGAACATTGCTATGTTAGTCATTGGTCGATTTCTCAATGGCCTGTGTGTCGGAATCTGTTCAGCGCAAGTCCCTGTGTATGTTGGGGAGCTCGCCCCTCCTCATTTAAGGGGTTTAGTGATGGGTGCTCAGCAATGGGCCATCACATGGGGTCTTTTGATCATGTTCTTCGTCTCCTATGGCTCTTCTTTCCTCGCAGGTCCTGCAGCTTTCCGACTGCCTTGGGGCTTTCAGATGATTCCCGCACTTATTCTCCTTTTAGGGTTGTCGTTTACGCCCGAGTCTCCGCGGTGGCTGGCAAAGAAAGGTCGCTGGCAAAGAAAGGTCGCTGGGACGAATGCTGTCACATTATCTCTTCGATTCATGTCAACAACAACCTCGATGACGAATTCATCCAGATGGAGATCCAACAGCTCAAAGATGCCTGCGAATCGGAGCGCAGCAAGACCGACAACACGTACTTTGATCTCTTCCGGCCGCACAGTGATTGCCTGCTCCTATCTTATTGTGGCCTCTTTCGCACCCACCTGGGGTCCTATTGAGTGGGTATATCCGTCCGAGCTGTTCCCACTGCGTTTGCGAGGCAAGGCCGCTGCCTTGTCTACAGCCAGCAATTGGGTTTTTAATTTCTGCTCTGAGCTACTTCGTCCCGTCCGCGTTCGTCAGCATCTATTGGAAGACGTACCTTATTTTTGCCGTGTTCGCGTTCGCCATGACTCTTCACGTTTTCTTGGTTTTCCCTGAGACGTCAGGCAAGAGCCTGGAAGAAGTTGAAGATGCATTCAAGGGCGTGACACTGGCATGGAGGATGGGGACAGATAAACTTCAGGATGAAGAGAGAACGCTCGGTCACTCTGAACACGCAAAACATGACGAAGTTGTGCACGTTGAGGATATGCCGGTATCAACGTAGATTGAGCTATCAACAATGCAGTCCCATATAGGCTGTTGGTGGCAAAGGACTGGGATTCGAATGATAAGAATTGTACCTAGGGAATGAGTAGGAGCCCAATCTTGAGAAATTGCTGTCGTTCATGGTTCACAGGATTCGGTAAACTTGATTACTGCGACTACTACTGCGACATCTACATCTTCCTTTCTCAGCTGTGCGGCAAACAATGAAGGAAATGATCCTTAAGGATCTAGAGCTATACAGGACGTAGTGTATAGCATCATTTAAGCATATGACTTTTAATGCACTCATCACAAAGTTATATGTTTACTACCATGGAACATAGCGTGTATAGCATCATAGGAGCAGGTGATCTTTAGTATGCTTGTCAGCTTGTCATAAGGTCATTTGATACAGTATTCGTCTGATCTCGAACTAGCCACAGGTCTGGCTTTAGATATAGCCAGGTAAACTACCTTGACAGAGCACAATCTCCGCCCACCATTTTGTCCCTGACTAGACCATGTTTGTCTTCATCCAACCAACAACAACAACAACAACAACAACAGAGTCACTCGACCACGACTCCTTCAAGCGCTGATGCCTACGCTGCCGCCGAGTCTTATTATGCCATGGGTGATGGGCCAATGGCTTCTATGGGACGCTAGCTATCTCCTATTTCTTCCTTCCTTATCAACCCCCTACGGTCATGAAGTTTATATCCGCATGGAAAAGGTACACTCGCATGTTCTTTGAATTCGTTGAGGAATCAAGTAAAAAAGGCAACGTCAAAGAAGGTTTATCTATGCGTTGCCGTCTGTTCCGGGCAAATCCACAAAGGGATCATCAGCAGGATCCGAGTGCCAGCGGTACTCCAACCTAAAGGCAACGAAATGAGCATGACGCAGAGCTTTCTCCTCTCTAAACCCCGGAATGGGAGCCGCCTCTCCTCGCGGAGAAGCCTTTTGAGCCTGGCGGTAAACCCGACGGTCCTCGGGCGCGACATACGTGCTAGCCAGGAACGCAAAGCCGGCGTCAATCCCCGCCGTGACACCGGAGGAAGTCAGGAATTTCCCTTCCTGCACCCAGCGGGCACGCTTCTGCCATCGGACACCGGGGTCTAGCGGACGGATAAATTAGCATGTGCTCTTGAGGTCCGAAAACCAGACGGGGCGTCATCTCATACGCTTCGGAGTCAGCTCATCGTACAGCCGCTTGTTTGTCGTCGCCTTCCGCCCATCCAGTCGGCCAGTCGCAGCCAGCAAGATGGACCCGGTACACACGGTGAAAACGTTGGCTGCGCGGTCGACCAGCTGACCGATGCGCTGCAGCAGGATCGGGTCCCAGACTAGCGGCAACATGCCGACGCCACCCGGGATGAAAAGGGTGACGAACTGGTGGTCGTCTCTGAGGGCCTCGGCCAGTGAAAGGGTCGGGATCACGCCGATGCCGTTCTTTATGGAGGTTTCGATGCCATGCGGCGAGTCTAGGTTGTGAAGGTTGACTAGCTGGAGAGTGAAGTAGTCGCTGCGGGGGACGATGGCGCCCAATGGGCCGAAGAGATCGAGGGCTTCGAAGTCGTTGTAGACGAGCGAGAGGATGCGGTGCTGGGTCGGCATTTTGTTCTGTTATCTCTACTTTCCTGAGTATAATTAGAGGATGAAGGTATCCCAAGTGCTTTGAGTCAAGGATGAAGAGGAAGCGGCGATGTGTCACCCTGGATGCCGGTCCTGGGGCTTCTGGATATTTGTACTTTTCTGAGACTAAAGAGCCATAACTCGTAATTGGTTTCAGAGGGCCTTGAGAAGTCCTAAGGGATCTTCCTCGGCGCTGAGAGAGCAGGCGCAGATTCGTCGCGGAACTGAAACTGACCGAAACACCATGGAGTTTTGCGGACGCTCGTGGCTCCATACAGGCCCCTGGAAGAATGCATAGCGCCGATGTTAGTCTCGGACTTGCTGACGGTTCAGTGTCTGACAGTCCAAGAAGGGTTAACTCTGTACTACTCTGTAGTTAGTGGCTTTTCTTCTGTTGGTCGGTTGACTGTACCCCTCTACGCTAAAGAAGCCTGCACTTCGAAGGTCTCTGCCGGGTCCGTGAGGGATAATGAGGCTAATGGAGTATGTAGCATTCTTTGAAGTTTGACTATGAGCAAAAAGCAGCGAGGCCTCGTATTCACTAATGAGATACAGGTATCTACACAGCTCAACTACTGCATAGGAGGTACAGCCTACTTGTAAGCAGCCTGCACCTCAGGCAGCGCATCCAGCTCTTGGTATAAGCCTCAATAGTCGGGTACTCCGCAAAGGACTTGAGTGCAGACCCGGCCAGCACCGAGCCCTTCAACCAGGGAAAGATGGCAAAGTCCGCGATGGTCAGCCGGCCCAGCGCAACGAACCCGTTCTCCGCGGAGGCAAGATGCTTCTCCAGCACACACCGCAGACGCTCCACCTCGGCGTGGTAGCGCGCAATCACGGAGCCGTTGGGCTTCTCGCCGTGGGCGCCCTCGTGAAAAGCGAGGAACCAGACTAGTTGGCCTTGATAGGCCCTAGGCCGGATACCTGCCAGGCGAGCCACTGGTTGACCGTTGCGCGTTCTTCGATGGTGCTGCCGGCGAGTTTGCCGCTTGGGTCGTACTGAGGTGGTTGTTAGCTGGGTGTTTAGAGTAATAGGGGATAATGAGGGTAGGTACCTTCTCAGCCAGGTATGTTAGGATAGCGGCACTCTCAAAGACGGTGAAGTTGTTCTTTTCGTGGTCGACCAGGGCGGGAACCCGGCCATTGGGGTTGAGCTCCAGGTCAATCGGAAAAGTGCTTACCGGCGTGAGTGTAGAGGGTAAATGGAGCCATTGCAAAGTAGACGAGGGGGAAAGGGCTGTGGGATCCGATTGGAAGTGAATTGAGACTGTGATCGAAGTGCGTCTCTTAGAGAGAAGAGAAGCCCTGTATGCAGATGATTGCTCTCGTGGATGATGCTGTTGGCGAGGCAAGGTGCCCTTCCAGCGCTGTCTTATACTCTGAGGCCATACTTGCAATCCTAGAAGCTATATCCAGAACTCCATATTGATAAGCAACATTCATCCGCGGAGCAAGAGAGCCTTCTTCACTCCATGGTCAAGGAAGCCGACGATGGAGCTATGTGGAGTGACAGCTATGGGCTCAGCCAATGGTAGCAGGACCTCACAATCAAGACGAGCCCAAAACAAGCCAAGCAGTCTTAGCTCTCGAGATCAACGGAAAGTGTGTCGTCTGTGGAGATCATCGAGACTCCAAGGGCGATCCCGCAATCATCCGACAGGGCACTTTCGCCCCGAAACTCCGAAACTCCATGACATACAAATAAAAATCCATCTTTGTGGAGTCGATCCATCTGAGGCTATCATGAAAATCGGTGAGTTAAGCAAAGCATTCTTCCATTAGAGCGGTTGCATACTCCCATGCATGTAGCTCTTGGTAAAACCAACAGGCGGACGAGTCAACAAGAGAGATTATGACCGGAAACATGACGTCTCTTGCTCAAAGCATTGCTATATTAATCTCACGATGCTTCATGACGGCTCGGTGGACACGCCCTGCATCTCAGCCTATGCCTTTTTACATTCCCCAAACCCGGTAAGGCCTCTAAGCATTGTGGACAGACCTGCATATTTTCTAAGATCTCATCCTGGTGAGAAAAAATGTCTGTCTCTTCACTGCATCTCGTCGCAATTTCCATCATTTTCTGACATGTCAGGTCTTCACTGAATCCAGATGGCTCTATCATATTAGGCTTCCGGGAATCAGGGTCCCAGGGCGTTGTCTTCAACAGCACATATTTCCAATTCTTGAAAAATGCCACACGGTGTTCATTAAAGGCCGCTAATGCTGGAGATTCACAGCAGTCTTTGGAAAGTTTATCACACAATTCTGCAAGCGCACCCAGGACGTTGTCAAGAAGCTCGCTGAAATTTCCAGAAAAGTTAATCATGGTTGCTATTTCGAACCAACGCAGGCATTTTCCAGACGTCAGGAATTCTGTTAGCTGCCGAACCATCATATCTTCTTCTGAGAACTCAGTGTCGTACGCATCTTCATCGGAACAGACTTCTGTGCAGTTCAATGCTTGCAGTAGAGCGTAATGGAAGGGGAAGTGGGATTCAAATTTGTAGAAGCTGATCGGAGCTGAAGAAGCACTTTTTAACTCGTCTAGATGCTGCTGCGATTCTGGGCACTCGGTGAAATACCACACGGCCGCAACCCCTCGAGACAGCTTCCTTGCCCGTGGTGGCTGCAATAATAAGTCCGATTTGGTCCAAAGGCTCCCCCTCGAAAGATATTGATAGAAGGACTGGTGGACAGCTGCAACTTCGTAACCTGTAATCGTCTGACGAACATCCACCAAAGGGCCGGCCAGTCTTTTTGCTAGTCCAGGCGTGTCAAACACAGGCTCCCCATCATTAACATACTGGAACACAATGTCCAAGATCTGAAGAGGTAGACGGTCTTCTTCTTGAAGTAGAAAATCGGGTAAAATGTCGCTGATATCTAGCCAGACATAGAACCACTGGGCAAATCTTCGTTCGTACTCAGAAAGTGGGCCATTATTCTCTTGTATTATGCGGTCATAAAGCTCAGAGAGACCCAGGGGCAGAGATGAGAGACACGCTGTGACAGCTTTGCGGCTGGGGGCCCGCGCAATATCATCCATCAGTAGCCGTGCGTACAACCACAGACCATCGGCCTGCTTTGAAATTCTGTCCGCAACCTGTTCTGCCAGTCCGGTGTTGGCAATGGACGGGATTCCCTTAATCCGTCTTTGTACGTAAGAGAGAACTTGGTTCTGTATGTATCTTGAGTCTAAACGCAGCAGATGAGAGGACGCGGTGCTGTCTTCCCTGTTTCGTGTAAACAAGAATTTATACTGAGCGCGCTTGTTCGAGCCCTGTCTGCGACTGACTCCTCCTTGAGCTCTGCTCGCGGAGTCATCGTCTGGGATAAGGGACTGTCGCCAATAATCTGCATCATCATCATCATCATCGATTATAATAAAGTAACACTTCGAACCTTCAAGATGGGTAATCGTCTGTCGGTACAAATCAGAAGCCATGCTCACCGAGTCCAGGACAGCCCGTCCATTGTGCTGGTAAGTACTCAGCATCTGGTCAGCCATACTTGGTTCGTATTGCAAGAGCTGCGATAAAAGCGTTCTCATTATGCAGACCGTGTCTTTTTTCTCAGGATTCTTTCTATCACAGAAGAAATACAGAACCCGTCCGTACTGCGACAAGGTTTTGACGAGGAACGCAGCAAGAGTACTTTTCCCACTACCAGGGCGACCGACAATCTGCAGCCTCTCGTTTCTGGGCGACGAGAACCATTTTTGAAATTGATCAGATTGCAGCACCCAGTCACAGGATCCGTCTGAATACTGGGAAAGATGTCGCTGCCAGTCATCCTCGACTGTGGAAGGACACAACCAACATCGGATTCGATGGAGATTTTGTTCTGAGCACGGTCAAAAATGGGTAATGCGCAATTGGAATGATAAATATGTATATAGACATGACAAACCTCGCGTCTCTTGGGCCAATTTTTCCCTCACTTCCTTGGCCTCTAGGAAATGAGCTGCTTGAGCTGCACGGTCTATCTCCGCTGCCCGATAATCCACCGACTCCGAGATGGACGCGAATTCGTTTCCAAAGGGATTAAAGATGTATCGAAGTCGACGTGTCTGGTACTTAACCATGCAGGTGCATAGCCGCAGAAGCTCACAGTATAGCCGCCCGACTGCATCCCGGACTCCGGCGTGGGAAGCAAACAGTGCTGCTAGATCCTGATATCGCTGAACCGATTGTGCAATCTTGTCGACAATAAACGCAAGTCGCTCCAAAGCTGAGAGGTGTTGACAGGCAATCTAAGGAGGTTTAGCGATTAGTTCCAAGCATCACCGAGCGCATCATCGAGATGAGTTAAATTACCGTGATTGCCATGCGAAGCGGACCCCATATCGGCGACGCAATCCCAGCGTTGACTTGTACAATCACATCGAGAGTTCCCTCTAGCCGCTTCAGGGGATCAATGACCGGCCCCAAAAACTCGGCTATCCGGGTGAAGCCTCTTTTCCTCGTGCCGTTTGTGGATAGAACCTGTAAGCATGCCTCGACAGTGGCGGGCGCTTGGAACTCGCGCTGTTTGTCAGGATCCAGGCTTTTCACATATTTTGCAACGGCTTCCTCCCATGTGTCTGAAGTCCGAGAAGGGATTGGATTCATCTTTCTTCGCAAGCTTGCGATTCGATCAGTTGTGAACAGTGGATGACACTAGCGCAACGAGGCTGAGAAGAATGGCCCTGCCCCTCCAATGTATTGAGGCACGAGGCTTAGCGTCACGGGATTATAAGTTTATAACACAAAGTCGCAAACATTATTCGCTACTTTCATCTCCCCTCTTTATATCATTCGAAGGACCAATAGTACCGTTGTCGTTTCAGGTCAGCCAAAGCTCCAATGTTAGTAGAATCGAATGACGGACAGCAATACATCGCAGTATGCAAAATGAAGGTATACTTTGGATCATCATCATTCGACTGCAGAGAATCCTCATTACCATCGTGTGATCTTGCGGAAATGAAAATCCTGGAAGCTTTAAGCAGAAATCAAAGCACAGCAATGGTAATATGCCTGGGTCAAGTGGCCTCTTTTTTCTCGCCCTCAACGCTTTCAGTCTTCGGGATCCTCCAGTGCGTTTTTCGTACCTATGGATTCACGAACTGTCGGTCTGTGCTGTCTGGAAGCATTCTCTACCTCGGTTTATATATCTTGCTGCAACCCTGAAGAGTCTGTGCTGACTGAGGCCCAAGTGTCAGCCATGCAATGGAGACGAGACAGGATACTATAACATGATCTTTACATGGTTATGTTCTAGGATCAAAGTCTCGACTCGCGGTCGCAGTGAGGCTTGGATTGCAGACGGCTCTGCTCGGCACAGCGATGCAAGCGGTCCTGCTATGTCATGCTATTGGGACATTTCCAGTACCTCCAGAGAGCATTCTCTGGTTGTAAAAGGAGCTTCAACATGCAATGATGCAGAAGACAGCCTGCACCTTTAGTTTCGGTGACATTGGCATTGATTTCATCGTAAGGTGGGCTCATTCAAGGCCGATCTCCGTGCTAACAATTTCGGCCGCCGAAGCTCTTTCGCCAGTGATAACCCACGACTCTCAACCAATTTTCAATTTCGATAGCAGCGTAATTCAATATGAGTGAATGCGAGACTGAGCCTCTGCTTTCACGGAGCGCAGCGATTCATGACACCATTCAGGACACCCGGAATGCTGCTTATCGAACGCTTCCTCTCGCTTTACTCGCCTCTCTCGGCATGGCAGCCACCACTGCCACTACCATTTACGCCTATGCTGATCTCCTTTGTGAGGACCCAACCGCCTGTAAAGATGGTGAACAAAGCGCCTATGCAGCCGTGGTCGCTATCGCCAGCGGAATCGCCCATGCGGTGGCCATTATGATCCTCGGGCCGATGGAGCAACTCATCCAGAAACATTTACGAGCCGGTCTGTTGATCTGGATTCTGTGCCGCGCAACCAGTGTATTGTGCCTTGTCATCGGAGGTAGTCAATGACATGACCGTCTCGAGATTTTTGGCTGACCATAGCAGTATTCGTTCGTAGCGTCGCCATCGCAGTGTCAGGACGCATTTTCGAGGGGCTTTCGTCAGACAATCTGCTTCATTTTAACCTCAACACTATCTATGTTTCTCTGACATTGCCATCTTCTGGTCAAGACACCTCGCAGCTTATCTCCACTTCGCTCGGACTGTATATGCTAGGGACCGCTGTCGGTCCCCTTGCGGTGAGCGTCTTTCAGAGCTACACGGCGAGCTTCACCGCAGCCTTGGCCATCTTCAGCGTAGCGCTAGCATATCTGGTCATCTCTGTCCGTGTACCAGCTATGCAAGCTGTGCCCCTGATGCGAACATATTCCAAGATCCTGTCAAGGCTCGGTGTACTGCTCTCTCCACTCCGACCATTCCTCGACCGTCCCCGCGCCATCCCCTATGGGCTCTCCCTGCTGCTCTACACCAGCGTCCAAGCCCATCTCTTCCCAGCCATTATGGTCTTTGCCTCGATCCGGCTGCATTACGGCTCTCTTCCAAAAGGCCTGCTTGTATCCACCGCCGCCGCATGCGCTGCCGTGCACCTTTTACTCAAAGTGCTTATCGTGCCCAGCCTACAACGGCTAAGGCCCAGCTCTGACAGATCCACAGACCGCACTGCAGTACTCGGAGCACTAGTCGTACAGATGCTCGCTCTCGCGGCCACCACACAAATACGGAGTGCTGGCCAACTGTACCTGGCTGTGTCAGTTGCGGCAGCAGGTTTATCCCTGCCGGCTTTCTTCAAGAGTCATTTCGTTTCGTTCATGCCTGATGCGCCTCGGGCGATCACAGCATTGACCTTTATGGAGAATTTCGGAGGATTGGTGTCTCCTCTTTTGCTTGGGGGCTGGCAGTCTGTTGCTCCCGGACCTTCTGTATTTGCTTTTGCGGTTGCGTTGCTAGGCATGAGTCTAGGATTATTTCTTTGGGGAGAAGTATTGTGCTTCAATACACCAAATCTACAGGCGGTTTACTAAAGTTGAAATGGTATAATGTTGATGAAAGTAATACCACAGACACAGTGTCCCATCATCAGTTTAACAAGAGTTTGTTACATTCGCATCAAGGTTCACGATGTATATTTCAGGTAATTCTCATCAACAAATGCAGACAAGGAACCCATTTTCGGTGATATCGATGTTGTCTTTGGACAGTCGAAATGCGATGTAAAGCTAGATCGGCGAGGGCTATATTCTAATCAGTTACCCCGTAGCAACGCAACTAAGCTTAAACAGAACAAAAGCGGACTAAAATGGCATAGATCCTGAACGCTAACAATTGCTTGACAGCCTAATGCACTCTAAGAGAAGCACTAATGCGCCTTTTGCCCATCCTCCGTCTGCGTGTGGCCAGAGGAAGCCAAAATGGACCCTTCATTGCCGCGGCGCCTGCACCGCCCATATCCGGCGCGAAAACATCCCCTCATATTGGCCAGCTCTTCAACATCCCTGAATTTCCTGGCTATTCTTGGGGCCCCTTGTCATTTCTTTTAACAGAGTCCTCCCCGCACGCGGTATTCTCAGGAAGATGCGAATTTCTTCGCTACTCAATCACTGTGCCAGCTGGTCCGATGGCCCTCTATAATCTCCTCCTCGGGCTCTCCGCCTTGATCTCCATCGCCAGGGCCGCAGAAACGTGCTACTGGCCAAATGGCAATGCGACCCCGTCCAACTGGGTGCCATGTCCGAATAGTAAAGTCTGTTGCGCAGTCGGGGAAGCCTGCCTATCGAACAACCTCTGCTATGGTTCCAAGCTGAACATTGCGTACCGCGGCGCATGTACCGACCTTTCCTGGCCGATTGCAGATTGTCCGCGCATTTGCTACGAGGGTACGATTCGATCGCTGCATTGGGGCAGATATGCCCATCGAAAGTAAACTCTACTGACTCATACGCTTCATTTCTCTAGAAGTCGACTATCAATGGGCAAACCTGTACGCGTGTCCGAATAACACCAACCAAGTCTTCACCTGCGGCACAAGCGGCTGGGCCTCGTCCGTCTGCGATGCAAAGCTGGGTTTGTACACCTGGGTCGACGGGAATGTGTCTCTCGCGCAGAATGGCATCTCGACCTCGTCCTCGTCCTCGTCCTCTGCTGTGGCGACATTGTCGTCCCCCTCCCAGTCGACGACGACAACTACGACTCCTTTCTCCTCGACCGATTCCGCAACAAGTGCCACCGCGACTGGAAATTCGCAGCAGGATAAGAATGTTTTAACTCTAGGACTCGCATTAGGGATTGCTCTTGGGGTTCCGTTGTTAGCGATCTCGGCGGCATTTCTGTGGTTGTGGTTTCGCACACGGCGACAGTCAGTTAATGGTCGGATTCAACAGCCCGTCGGGCAATACCCAGCAGGAGCTCCCAGTATGGCTCGTGCTTATCGTTCGAATGGTGCGATGGGGGAGTTGGAAGTCCCCAAGAACAATACTTACAGACCGGAATTAGAATGATGTGGTGTACTGCATTTTGGCCAGTGAATTGTACATTTTAGAACATACCTATTGAGCGATTGTACCTAGCAACTAGTAATGCTCACTTTTTGGTATATGCATAATGCATCGTTGTATATCATCTCTGTTCATGGCCAGCTAGGCATGGATCACGTGATATGGCCCACCACCACGCTTGTTGTCCGCAGTCCGCACTGTCAGAGTGTCAACTCGTGCATCAGTCCATCTCTCTCCGTGTTTGACCAAGGACCCTCTGATTTTTGTACCTCCGCCTGCGATGAGTGGACACAATCAATTCAGATCGACGTACACTTTCTGGCTCCCACCTGAGCTTTGGATGCGAGTCGCGTATTTTCTACCTCGGATGCCCGATCAACCGAGATGGCAGCCGTGGGTCAAGTATCGCGGGCTGAACAGGATATTCAAGAAAGAGATTGAAGATTTCTACTTCGAGCACTGGATCAAGCGTTCAGAGCTCTGGGTGAAATGCGAGCAAGAGCTTCCGCCGGATGTCCCTGGATTGTATGATGTGGATTTGCATGAGTGTTATATTTTCTCTGGCTTTCGTGATTCCGAAAAGCGCATCGCTGTTTTCGAGGGTCAAAGATTAAAATGGACAGATCCGCGAGATCGTGAGATATTAATTCTGATTGAGAAAATGTTGAACGAATTCGATGAGCAAGGATATCATCCTTACATCACCTTTGAGATTGAAAAAGGAGTGACCGATTTAATTCCCATCGACCTTCGTTTGCGGCATACCATCAGAAGTAGTTATTTTACCTTTGACTGGCGAACTTATCTCTGCACTCTGCTTTGGGAGCTGCGCCACGTTGATGAGTATGAATTGCTCTCCGGGGTATGGTATTCTTACATCTTCCTCCAGTTGTTGTTTCAATGCTCATCAGGACAGTGCAAATCCCAACCCCGACTGGCAGTAGAATTGAGATGGAAGACCAAATACGGCCAAATGAAGCCTATGGAAGCAATGCTACATCTGGTGCGAGCAGCAGGAACCGAGCTTGTTGGCCGTGATGGTCGACTGCTCGAAATCCGCAGGTGTCGACGGCACCGCTTAGGACTCAAAACTGGCAAATTGCGGCCTCGACCTCTTGCCCATGATACAAGTGTGCTTGAACGTCGCTTTGCACAGGTCGATGAGGAACTCGTGTCAGAGACGCTACTGGACTCTGCAATGATGTCGGATGTACAGATAGAGTGGTAGCGGTCAAGCAGTCTAGAAACAAAGACACTGCCTTGTCTGCTGATCCCTCGAATGACTTCTCAACGCAAGATAAACCGTTCCAACTCGGCATAGCTCTCAAATCAGAAGAAGGGTTCATCGGGGTGACCGCCTGGATTTTACTTCGATGTCCACATATTAAAAACGATCATCTCCAAATCTCCCAAGGAACCGAAAGCTGAGATCACCGGCAGCTCCACATTCAAAATAGGTGTCCTCGGTTGAACTCAGCCTCGAACTGTGTCCCTCTTCGTGGGTTTTACCCGCGCCACGATTGCAGCATAAATCAACGTATGCCTCGCGGTCGAGCGTAGCTCGTGCATCCTCGAACGTTTCGAGATTTGATTCGATAGTCCCTTCAATATCAGATGATATCGTCTCGCCTCTCTGGCATGCAGGAAGATGTCACAGGCTGGATCTCATTGGACGGTAATCGTACAACCTGTGCACCTCGAAGATGACCAACCAATGAGAGTCGCACAGGCAGCTGCAACATATTTCCGTCGTATAAGGCTGTCCAAGATCGACCGAAAGCCGAAGGACGAGCATCGACTGTACGGTGTAGCAAGGGTGATTGCCACTTCGTGAGGGTAGGATTCCAAGATGCGGGGTTGCTCAGCAGGTATAAATCGCCAACAAGCTCCGAGTCTGTCAATGTTGACCACATTACGACCGAAAGACCTGTCTCTTCATCACCAAAAAGGCACCATGCAGTCTACAGAAACCATTCAAGCGGTGCAAGACTATTATGGAGGATTAGCTGAGCGCGGCTCCACGGACAGGTCTGAGGGTTATCAGACCAGCGTTGCGAAGGCGTTTGGCTACGACCCAGAGGATCTGAGATCCCTTCCCGAGAATGCGAACCTTGGAGTCAGCTGTGGCAATCCTTTGGCCTTGGCAAGCCTAAGAGAAGTATGTATGGCTGGACAGTCGTCTGCGCAAGTCTGACTGTCAGAAAATAGGGTGAGACTGTAATCGATCTAGGAAGTGGCGGCGGCATCGATGTCATTCTCGCTGCCCGCAAAGTCGGTCCGAAGGGAAAGGCTATCGGAGTTGACATGACCAAAGTGAGTATTCACTTCTATAGAGCGGGTTGTACGCTTCCGACGAGAGACTTACTTCCAATCAACCAGAAAATGCTGGCTCTCGCCCACCAAAACGTCGAAAAAGCAGGCATCACCAACGCTTCCTTTGTCGAGGGATTCATCACTGCTATCCCACTCGAGGATTCGACAGCCGACTGCATCATCAGCAACTGTGTCGTCAATCTCGTGCCAAAAGAGCAGAAGAGCCTTGTCTTTCAAGAGATGTTCCGGCTTTTGAAACCTGGAGGTCGAGTTGCGATCAGTGACATCCTTGCTCGGAGGGAGCTTCCGCCCGAGATCGCGAACGACTTGGCGCTGTATGTTGGCTGCATCGCTGGTGCCAGTCAGGCCCAGGAGTACGATGCATATCTGAAGGACGCCGGGTTTGGCGGTACCTCAACCAATCCACTTGCCACTGACCGGAAGATACTGATGCTGTCCGCAGACATAACGATTGTGGACACTAAGGCAGACCTTAACGTCTACAAAGATATGCCGCAAGAGAAGCCTGCCTGTTGTGGCATGTCCTGCTCCGGCGTTCAGAACAATGACAACATTCGGGACTATGACTGTAATGAATGGGCTGGTGAGTTGTACTCCATGAGGCCTCCCGTCGTGGCTAACCCAGTCTCCAGGCTCCTTTCAGATATACGCCGTCAAGCCAGCATTGTGAATGACATCGGTCGTTGTTTCTTTCATATTTGCTAGGAAACATGACTGAGATCAAACTACGTCTGGGAATGATATCCGTCTTGTATTCACCTAGAATGAGATGAAATGCCGACTCAGGCAGAGGGAATCCATATCTCGCCGTTCTCAACTTTCATCGATGGGTCCTAAGTAGGATAATTGGAGATTTCCTTGTTGGGCAAAAGAGATTCAACTATATGTAGAAGACGCTTGCCAAAAAGCACTCTTATTGAGAATGATACTGGGTATCGTAGCGGGGTTTCCACCCGATCGTCCGCCTATTGATCCCTTGAAGAGAGCTCAATCGGGTAGCTTAGCCCCGTGAAGGTGAGCTTTAGTCAAGCTTCGGTTAAGCAATGGACCGGCAGCACAACCTTGTTACGCCCAATTGACAAGCCCATATAGTCTTGCGGAAATGGACGTCCTCTCTAGCTACTCAATGCTCATTGTAACCCGCTCCGAGGAAGGGGGGCTTCTCCGGCTGAGGTAGTGAAAGTTCGCTCAAATCTCGAAAGACGATCTGTGGGACAATGGTTTTCTCCCTGTACTCCGTCGAGGTACTGGAGTCGTTAAGCTGCAGACAAGGTCTACAGCAGCTCATGGACGCTAGCCACGCAAGCCCTCGGCGTGCCGTATCCTGCGCTCTTTCAGTCCGGATATCGAAAGTTGCACAGCGCTGATCCGGATCTTCGAACTTGAGCTTTCTCAGCGTATGACGTTCTCAGTCACTCTCATTGTCTTGATTGGTAACCTGGCTTGCGACCTGTGTGCTGGTGGCGACACCACTTTCGCGCCGGGTGTTAGTACTTCTTCTTCGGCCTTGCATGTATGCATCCGTGGTCGTAATGGCTCTCTCGCCAACGAATTTGTCACCGGGCCAAGGAGCCTTGCATACGGGACACTGTTCAGCCTGCCGCATACGGAAGAAATTGCGAGTGCACATATCATGGAGCCGGCCCGAGCAGTCACGGTTGCCGCAACGTTGACCCTTGCGGAACGTCAGTTGCCATACTACCGACAAAAAGCGTAGTCTGCAGACTCACCACCGTGATAATATCCTTGCATGCTGCGCAGAACTTGATCTTATCCACTCTCCGCCCTTCGTCGTTCTCATTGTACGTAGCAATAAGCCAGCCACGCAGCTCCATCAGCCCCCGCGGACTCAAACTGTAGAATCCCTTCCGGCTCTTCTCAAGCCATCCTTCCTCCACAAGCTGCTTTAAGACCGTCTCCGCCTGCGACATGGTCAAAGACTGCGCTGCTCCTCCCTGATTTCGCTGTGTGGCGCCCTGAGACTCCCGTCGATTTGAATCCGAAGAAGCCTTAGCGAGCTGCATGGCCTGTATACCACTGACTACCATGGCCTCAGATCGTCGTGTATTGTAAGTATCGAAAATCGCGTCAAGAACACGCTTGATGAAGGCAATCTCGTCTGCCGAGTAGGTGGTGGCTAATTGCATGAGGGGATCACTAGTGGTATTCACAAGAGCATATACTCGTTCAGCTTGCGTACTTCCGTCTCCTTGCTGATCGATCTGTAACTGGCGTAGCGTGCTCCTAATTTCCAGGTCGAACGGAGAAATTGCGGCGTTGGCAGCTTCGATATAGGAGTCGAGATCTTCTTGCGATACATCGTCCGGGGAGACAGGTTGGCCCTCTATCATCATGCACGGATTAGCAAGTCCCCCGTGCTCTCTCGTATATGACTTCATACCGTGCGCCGAAAAGATCGCTGCTAGAACAGGTCTGGCTTCCTCAAACGTCATGGTCGACCGGGCCATGAACGCTTGGAGAAAGGCGCGGTTACTATCGTTGTAGCCATTCGCCCCAGCATTATTTGCCATTATGTCGTTTGCGACAATTGCCCTCCGCTAAGTCGAGAGGCCAATCTATCGTTAAGTTTGAGTACAAATCTTAGATCTTCGGTTTCTTTTGCGGGGAAAGTCATTGCGACGCGATCCAACGCGACCCGCGTTATCGGATGCCAAGACCGAGACGGACAATTTACGGAGATCACATCAAGCATCGCATATATGAGCCTTTTTACTTGCGCCCTACGGACTTCTGGCTATCACTACTCAAAAGGTCACTAATGGTGGCTTAAAGGAGGTATGAATATGATCATGGTAGCTACTAATTGGAATGAGCTAGCTTTGATATCATGCTAAGCGAACAAGAAGGTACAGATGACAGATGTCACAATCTCCCCAACGCCGAATATGGAAACGAAATCATAGAAGAAATGTCCCTAAAATCTCCGCCTGGTAGGCTCCGGACTAGGACTACGGCTAGCACTTCTCGGGTCCCGGCCTCGTTCTTTGAGCCACTTCTTGGTGCTCAAGCGAAGCTCACGGTCGAGCTCGGGACTGGGATCCTTCCGGTGAATGAAATTGCAGAATCCGCCTCGTACGCATCCTTCGCCACTATTTAACCGGCAGCACGCTTCTCGGAAATCTGTCACGGGTGATAGCTCGCAATATATCGGTCGTGCTGCGTACCAGCGCGAATTGAGCGCATCGCACGCGGCTTGTGCGTCTTCTTCGTATTTGAATCGTGCGTAGACGTTGCCGATGAGATCTGCATGATAGACTCAGTTAGCGATAGTTCTCTTGATATCTTGATTCGCAACATAGCACTTACGGTCATTGTTGTTGTCGCAGACAACCAATTCCTCCAACTCGCCGTACTTGCACATCTCGCACCACACATCCTCATAGAACGCATCGAAGTGGTTTTGCAGCTGGCTGGGGTTCATCTTGCTCTTCGGGTCGTAGGCTGGGTTCTGATACATGTTGGGCATCAGGATCGTCTGGGAGTATGATGGCTTGACATGCTTGCGGGAGCATCTGTCGCCGTGTCTGCAGGCGCCAATCTTGTAGTAAAAGGAGCAATTGACCTTGTCCTGTTCTGTACCGAAAATGGAGGCGAGATAGTTGGCCATGGTGATCCGTCGACAGTAGAATGAACCTGGGTCACTTGAAGGAGGAGGAACGATGCGGAGGCGAAAAAACCACTGTCAGGGGACACGACGAAGGAAAGTGACAGTAGGTAAAGAGAGGGAAAGAGATGGTAAGATAGTGCTAGCGCAGGAGATGAGGCTATATGTCCCTTCCCATAGCTTGAAGATTCTGGAGAGCTCGATCGCGTGGCGGAGATGCTGACTAACTCTTGTTGGAAGTTTCTGGCCTCAGGCCACAATTACCGGAACAAGAATGTTCCGTGTGCATAACTAGCCATTCATGCATCTTATATTACATAATCTCCCCTTTGCCCATGCGCTTTCACTCAATCGTCGGGGCAATTGTTATAGTATGCGGTAAATTAGATACATTTATCATCTCAAGTCTGGTCTTGTTCTTCTGTTCTATTTCAAGACGACTCACACTACTGCAAGCCCACTCACATCTACTTCAGGCTCAACTCCCTCCACCATTTGCGCAATCACTTTCCCAGTTCCCAGTGACAATGCGATTCCCCACGGACCATGACCTGATGCAATGAAAACTCCTCCCCTTGTTCTACCATTCTCACATCTGTTTCTAGGCCCAATTTTGAGCCCGCCTAGCAAATGATCGTCAACTCGAGTGACAAAGGGAATTCCATGCGCGGAGACGGGTCGGAAGCATAGGCCCTCACGCAGTATCTCCAAGTCATTTTGATTGGCAACGTCGTCTGTTGATTCCACATTGCCTTCGGCTAGTCCTCCCATCAGACGAACCGCCGCCTTTTTCAATCGTTCCATCTCATTCTGTTCCATTAATTTGCATGAGTCCTCCGGCTGAGCTGGAAGAGGGATATGTGTGTCATTCAAACCGGCTATGTAGATCTCTCCGCCGAGAGAAAATCTCAGGACAGAAACCGCTTGAATCAGTGTGTGTCGTAAACACGGCATGACTGCGGCCGGCATTTGTTACCCTCTCGTCTTGGAGCGTGTATCTGGGAGAACGAACGACAAGGGAGTATCCAGCCAACGAGGTGATTGGAATTGTAAGACGAGACGAAGGGAACAGATCATGATACACTTGCGGCGTCCAGGGTCCAGCACAAATGATGATATTTGTGCACTGAAGTTTGCACTCCGTTTGAGTATCCAAATTGATGATTTTGATCTCGGTGATAGCTCCACTGACTTGATCTGTGATGACGCATGTGGCCTTAGCCGGGTTGTGCAACTTGACACCGCGGGACAAAGAACTCTCCAAAAGAAATCTTGACAATCTCAATGGGTCTCTAAACGCCGTCAGTTCGCCATGCGGCAGAGTTCGCAATAATCACTACTAACACTTGAGCAACAGTGTCATCATCGCTAATCTTCTCAAGGACGCCTTTCTTCTGCTTCGTCAACCAGCCGGGTACCTCAGCATGAATAGGACTGCTGGAGCTGGCAGCTGCTTCTGCTCGACTTGTTCCTGCACTCAGCCAGTCATCTCCAGGAGCACCTTCTTTCTTATTCTTCTTGGAAAGGTCCAGGCTCAGTGCTGTGCCTTTCATATATCCCCATTTCTGCGCCCCCCCATGCTTAGCCGCCAACGACTGATGCAGATTGAAAGAGAGAGCTCCCAGGGGTGCAAGAGCTGGCGCAAACCAGTCCTTGGCTAGGAAGCCTGCAGCATATCCGGATGCAGCACTGAACAACTGAGACGATGCCTCAACAATATGGATCTCGTCAGACGATCCATTTTCAGACAAGTAGTAGGCAATTGAAGATCCGATGATGCCTCCTCCAAGAATCACAGTGGACATACTGCCGTTCCGTAGTCTACGGGTTGTCCTAGGTCGATTACGCCGCTATGCTCCTATGCGTCATCAGTGATCCGTAGAGCAATAGCCTTAGAACATACTTTTTACTTACATTATATAGCAAAGTGCATCCTCTTGTTTTTTTCAAGACTGTTTTCTCGATGGACTTGAGTGGGAAATGACAGGCGAAAGTTTGGGGTGCTGTCTATAGCCGTGGTAGAACTACAACAGGACCTGACACGTGGAGCCACAGCCTTTGAATAATGTTGGACACTTGATCCGTGCTTATGTGGATGAAGCTTTAGAATTGCATACCTCCCTATCCAAGCCGTGAAGTCGAGAATCAACGGCGTAGCTTCCAGCGGTTCTTGTCACTGTGAACATACAGATACCGGTTCTCCGAGTCTGCAGTAAATAAAGATGGCTTCGGACATGCACTTCACCAACAAGAAGAAAAAGACTAGACTTTATACTTTAAATTCGGGCCAAGGACTTCATGATACCTGTAAACGGGAAGGTTTTATCTGGGCAATTGAGAAAATCTATTCATATACAGAGGTATCGATGGCATTATTATTCTGCGGCATCTTCGCCGACGACCCCGCGTTCCCCTCACTGAAATTACATCACTGCTGCTGGCAGCTTTTTTTCTTCGTTTACCCGATAACTCAATTGGTCCTTGCTCATTCTTCTTCAGTGACCAGAAAGTCCAATATAAAATCTCCGGGCTTCTAGTCTTCTAAGCTCGCTTTCCTCGCTTTTATTTGTCGCTTTCTTTTGTCAATAATCTTGGAGACAGAGATGTCGGGCAAAACCATCATTGTCACCGGCGCCTCGAGAGGTACTTCCATCGAGCATCCCCTCAAATACACATGTACTAACTCGCATTCCACAATTCTCTCAGGTATCGGACTCGCCATTGCAAAGTACCTTCTTACCGCGCCACAGTCGCACAATGTCGTCGTGATCGCTCGCAGCGTCGAACCTCTCCAGAAGCTCAAGGAACAGTACAACAAGCAGGTCGAGGTGCTCAACGGCGATCTGGCGGATTTCTCTCTCGGCCAGAAGGCAGTCGACCTGGCTATCAAGTCATTTGGCCGTCTTGATGGATTGGTCCTCAACCATGGAATACTCGGTCAAGTCGGCAAAATCGACAAAGCAGACCCCGAACAGTGGAAGCTCGGATTTGACGTGAATTTTATCAGCTTCGTCGCGTTTGTAAGACAAGGCCGTTGCTGGATGTTGGTGTTCGAATGCAAAAGAACTAATTGACTTCTAAAATAGATCAAAGCTGGTCTACCAGCGCTTCGCGAGGCCAAGGGAAAGATTATCTTCACTTCCTCTGGAGCTGCGGTGTCCGCCTACCGAGGCTGGGCTCTTTATGGAGCAACAAAGGCTGCGATGAATCATCTCGCCTTGTCTTTAGGCGAAGAAGAACCCGACGTTACCACCATCTCTATCCGGCCCGGAATGGTGGACACTGAGATGCAGCGTGAGTTGAGAGAAGACCATGCTACGAATCTTGAGCCTCAAATGCATTCCAAATTTACAACTGCGCACAAGGACGGAAAGCTCCTCAAACCCGAGCAGCCCGGCCACGTGATGGCAAAGCTGGTCCTCAGCGCTCCAGCTTCGCTCAGCGGAAAATTCCTCTCGTAAGTCATCTGTTCATTCATGCTAAAAGCTAACTAACGACTAAATAGATGGAATGACGAAGCTCTGAAAGACTTCCAAGCATAAATATTCGGCCTATATATGTGACCGTCAGTACATGTCGCAACCAACGAGCAGATAGAAATAAACGGCATGAAATTGTAAATATAATCAGTCGAAAGATGAAAAGCAATACATTTTAGAAGCATTAGATGCAGAGCACCTTCATACTTAGCATGGAATGTAGGGTACTCATCATATAAATTGGAGAGAAGACGGAGAGAAAAGGAGCACCCATACCTATAAGTTTACGCAATCCATGTATGCGAAGACATTCAGACCAGCCCTTAACACGTCAACGTCCAACATCTGAATGAAGAGTTTTGGCTAATGGAACCACAGTTCAGCTTCGCATGAAGTCAAGTCAACCAGCTACAGCCTAAAATACTTCAAGCTATTAGCAAAAGATATAAAATCTTTAAGACTTTAAATGCAATAGTGAAAGAAGAGGAGAGATATCAGTTGGTCCGTTTGGCTTGGACAGTGTTCGTCACCACAGAGTGGTATGATAGGGGCGACAACAAGGTTCATCATGTAGTATTGCAAGGATCTTTGATAATGTAGCTAACATACCTTCGACAGTTAGAGCTACTTGCTCTATGGTGTGAGTAAAAAGCAACTTTTTAAGATCTGGTCATCGAAGACCTTGGAGACGTTTTGTCTCGCTTGTTGTTGTGTGGTGAGAGTGAAAAAGGTTGCTGCAGGGAAAAAAAATTGCTTGCAGATAAAGACTGAAGGCGGTGTGTTTCTGCCCCTATTCTTTATTCCTCGAGTAGCTCCACGCGTAGTGGGATTTCATCGACTATTTATCAAGACTAAGAGCATTTGCCCCACGCGGACTTGCTATCACAAGATATAACCTTCGAAGTCCGCGAAACTTTGCGACATATGAACTGCGCTTTTGTCTGAGACGATTTATTGCTCATCTACCATGTCTGATAGAGAGTTCGGCTGTATGTACCTTCTTTTCACCCATTCCTTGACAGCCCGGCTGACACTTCAACTCATATATAGCGAATGATGACTTATCGCTTCCCAAAGGTATGTGACAGAAACTCGCGTTGAGTATATCCCTTTGTCGCATTTGGAGCGATTATCGCTTCACAGTCTTTAATACTCTTGCGCCCTGTGCAGGCCTACATAAAGCTTACTTTGTTCCCCGCAGCGACGGTCCAAAAGATCATTACAGAGATCCTACCACCCTCGTCCGGTCAAACATTCTCCAAGGATGCTCGAGATTTGCTCATGGAATGCTGCGTCGAATTCATTACTTTGATCTCCTCTGAGGCCAACGATATTAGCGAGAAGGAAGCAAAGAAAACAATCGCTTGTGAACATGTGGAGCGGGCTCTGCGTGACCTTGGATTTGGTGACTATATTCCCGACGTCCTTGCCGTCGCAGAGGAACATAAGGAGCAACTGAAGGTTTGTATCCTGCAACAGTCGCTCGGAAAGACAGCTTTTGCTAACGAATGAATAGTCGCGAGAGAAGAAGCAAAGCAAGATGGAACAAAGCGGCCTGACCGAGGAGGAACTGTTACGACAGCAGCAAGAGTTGTTTCGCTCGGCCACAGAAAAATACAATGCTGCTCCGGAATGAGCTTCTCGATACCGTGCTTGTTGTTCCAGACTTGTCGATCAAATAGACTCACGCGTCTCGGAGTTCTTTGTGCTTTGGGTTCCATTTTTTTACTAATGACACGTACATGCTTTGAGGGGAGAAAATAGGTTCGGAGTTTAGGTGGTTATTCAGGGTCTGACTCGGGAAATGCTTAGATGTCTGCGCTAGCGTTGTCTGTGGTTTCATCCCTATTATATGGACATTCTCTTTGTGACTTACTTCAGTTTCTTGTGCTCTTTATTAGTTTCGCATGAAGGATGCCTATTTGTTCATCGTAACCCGAAAGTTGCGAGGGTTGATGTGGTCCTGCTCTTCAAGTTTCAGCGTTTCTTGCGTCTCTAAGTACTGAACAATTTATAAACGAGACGGGAGAGATTCTGGAAAGATGAAATATGCCCCGACAGGCGAGGATGATAAACTGTAAGCTCAATATATACTACTTCGTAGATGTCTAGTTTCCCAAAATCAAGGACACCGCACTCGGTGCAGTCGAACCCTTTTTATCGATTGAAGCATAACGCATGACAATAGAGACATGCATCTGACAGCATGACCGTGAGCTAATTACTTCAAAATCAATAAATCAATTGACGAAGGCCTCATACTGCTAGATTGTATATGATCGAGGTGGGTGGCGCCTAACCGAAAGTGGCTGACCGCCCAACCTGGTTGAGACCATCGCAGAAGCTCCAACAGCGCGGTCGGCTTCACTGCGACAGATCCCCCAAAATCCTAAGCTCCATCACGCTGGATTGCCCAGGATGCCGCCCTTTAAGGATGAACACATTCTGGTAAACCTCACTTACCCCACCTCGCAACATTCACTTGCCTTATGGCCACAAGGCAGCAACCCACTAACCCCCCGTCCCTTCTAGATAATTGCGCCAGGTTCGCAAGTGACCCTGGCCCAGCTCGGCCTTCCGGAGTCCTTTACTCCTGCACGATTTCGCTTCCCCACGCGCATGTTCCCTGGTGAAAAGAAGGGCGAATATGAACCATATAAGATTCACGAAAAGCGACGCGATGTCAAACCTAGTAATGGCGCCGACGCGCCCAAGGAGGACGTGGAGATGAAAGATACGGAAACCTCTGCGCCCGAGGGTGCACCGAATACTGCGACGGATGAGAAACCACAAACCGCGGAAACTCGAGGCCAGCCGGAGAATGGAGAGGCACAAGAAAGCAATGGCGAAACGGCGCAGGAGACTACCCAGGAGATCTTCTATGAGGAGGATGTCACATCAGATGAAGGCGCGATTTATCCTATCGAAAACGGACGGGTTGTCGACTGGCCCGTCTTTTTCGCCCTCTTAACACACGTTTACAACACACTTAGCCCGCCTTTCCACACACCGATCATGCTCATTGCTGAGCCAGTCTGGTCTGCTCGTGATCGCGAGGCGATCACTCAGTTTGTTTTCGAGAAATTCAAGACACCAGCGTTTTGCCTGATGGATTCTGCGCTGGCAGTCTGCTATGGATACGGAACGTCTACCGCAACGGTTGTCGATGTTGGGAAAGGGAAGGTCGATGTCACCGCAGTGACCGATTTCATGGTCAATGAACACGGAAGAGGTATCGCCCTGGAAGGCTGCGGTGGAGATTACATGACCGAAAGGCTTCTGGAACTACTGGGACCCAAGGGCTTCACAAGGGAGATGTGCGAGCAATTGAAGAGAAGCAATATCACAGAGATCTTACCGCCGGGAACACCGTTGCCTGGCACCGCGGAGACCGCACAACAAGGCGTCAACCCAGCTGTATCGGCCTCGACAGGTGCACAGGACGGTCTCGGTGTGAATGGATCCGTCCCTCGTGGCCCGGGCAACAACACTCAGACCGGAGCTGAAGGGAACAACGCAGAAGGCGAAGAAGATGAAGGGGTCCTGGATGTTGCGGCCATCGTTACTGGGAACACGAGCGAGTTTCTAGCAAAGAGGGAGAAAGAAAAAGCCGAGAAGACTTCCTCAAAGAAGGGTGGAGCGGATCAGGCTGCGAAACCTGTTCGTCTGCCGAATTCCAAGAAAGAGAAAGCTTCATTCCAGTTTGAGGAATTCGTACGCCTCGACTCTGACCAGCAGACGACTGAAGGTTCTGGACGATTCATCCGTCAAAAGCGAGACATCGAGGTTGGCATCGAGCGCTTCTTAGCAGCAACCCCCAAAGAACACGTCGGGGAGCGTCTCTCAAGTGGAATCCTAGAGGACATTGCCACTCAAATACATCATACCATTCTCGCCGTTCCCGATGCAACCAAGCGGAGCGAGCTTTGGGATTCATTGATTGTCGTAGGAAATGGCAGCAAGGTCAAAGGTTAGTGGCCTCCACGGGTATCTCTCTTCGACATATACACTGATATTATCAAACAGGTTTCACACAGGCTTTGCTTGGAGCAATCACACAGAAGTTTATCCTCTCGCCGTCAGGTACGATTTTCACATCTGAAATTCCGTCGAATTTCTCCACCCCAACGCCTACCGGAGGAACCAATACACCCACTCCTTCTGGTCAGCCCGGTATCATGCATCATCCCGCCGGCCACGGCGTCAATCCTCTGCTCATTGCTGCAACCCACTCCGGAAACCCCGCGGTAGGCAACATGCCTCCTGGGACACCATCCCTCGACCCTAACGCGGCTTTGCACCATCGGTCTACCGGCCATTCACAGACTCCCACCTCTGTGAAGACCGTGAAGCCTCCTGAATATTTCCCTGAGTGGAAAGAACAAAGCAACACCAACGCACCAGGTGCCAGTGGCGCTGGGGGCTTGGGCATGGGCACTGGTGCTGCTGGCAGGCCCAGCGGCCCGTCCATCGGTGGCCATGGCATGGAGGAGGCGGTGTTTTTGGGTGCTCAAGTCGCATCCAAGGTTGTCTTCGTCCTTGACCAAGGATTAAGCAAAGGCTTCATGAGCCGCGTGGAGTATAACGAGAACGGGCCGTCGGCGATCCATGAATATATGATGTGATTGTATCGCAATGTCGTTTTGTTTTGCCCATGTCCCGCCATGATTCAAGGAGTTCGGCAACGAGGTGTTCCACTTTGGTTCCACGAGGGTACCCTTTTAATCGATTTTGGACTCGTTGCCCTCTACATATACTATGATTTGTGATTTTCTCCTTCTTGCCTTTCAACAATTGTACTTTACACGGTGGGCGTCAGTTCTTCTAGAAAAGCAATTCTGTCTGGATGCGGGTAGGATAGCTGGAGTCTGGTCCTCAGTTAATAGCGTTCAATATACTCTCTCAGCCAGGAGATATGCGCCGTCGAGGGCAAACCGAGCTTTTGCTGTCAAATATCGTACTTATTCGTCCCTCTTAATAACAAGACCCAAATCTTCTTACGGCCTTTGCACATTATCACGTGACCATGTCTTAGCCACAGAGAACCCGGTCACCCGCCACATCTCTCTACCGCCAACCAAGCTCTCTTCATCTCCCTTCATATCTCTTTCAGTTCCAAGATTCGGAAGAAGGTTCGAATGAAATCGCTTGCACCCTGAAACCTGTACTAAACCTGGTTTATTCGTTCTCACACCGTTTACATTTCTTGCCTTCAATATGCCTCGTGCCGAGGCTGGAAGCACCAAAGCGATCAGCAACAAGATCAAATCCGTATGTTCTCTCATTCCTGTCCTACAATTCCGAAAAGTATCAAGCTTCTAACTGATAACAGAAAGGCTTAGGCAGATTGCGATGGTACTGCCAGGCTTGCCAGCGCCAGATGCGCGATGAAAACGGATTCAAGTGGTGAGTTTCTTTATTACCTGTGATGCTTTTTGGCTAGTGTATACTGACTTTCATTCCTTCAGTCATGTACAGAGCGAAAGCCATGTACGACAGATGCTGCTCATCGGCGAAGATCCCAAGAAACATATCGAGGAATTCAGCAGAGAGTTCATGAACAACTTTGTCAATACGCTCAAGACTACGCACGGCGAGAAGAAAGTCCACGTTAATCAGTTCTATCAGCAGGTTATTGCTGATAAGGAGGTGAGTCGAGCGGTAAAGTTTGGATTATGGCGGCAGATCACTGACGTCGATAAAGCACATTCATATGAACGCCACCAAATGGAAGAGTCTTACCCAGTTTGCGGCCCACCTCGGTCGAGAGGGTATTTGCCGTGTCGAGGAAACCGAGAAGGGTCTGTTTGTTTCCTACATCGATCGGAGTCCGGAAACGATGCGACGGCGGGAGGCGATCCTCAAGAAAGAGCGGCAGGACAGGGGAGACGAGGAGCGGGAGCAGCAGCAGATTCAGGAACAGATCGAACGGGCTCGACGGAATGCGGAGAACCAGGATGAGATCGATCCTGAAGCACGAACTCTGCAGCGCAAGGAGGGTGAGAAGGTGAAGCTCAATATCGGGTTTGGGTCGAAAACGAATGGAGAGTCGAAATCGGTGACGCCAGGGACGCAGTCGCCAGAGCAGAAAGATAAGGGGTCCTCTTCAGCGACACCAGACACAAGCGCGGTTGAGTCTCCCGCGGCTCTGGTAGAGGCTGCACCACAAGCGGCGGCGCCGAAGCTCTCCATGTCCCTTAACAATAATAAGCCGAAGAATATTTTCGCAGCCGTGGCAAAGAAGAACCCTCTAGCAGGAAAGAAAGGGCCGGTGTTGGAACAACCTAAGAAGATGACCGAGCAAGAGCGCATCATGAAGGAGGAGATGGAAGCGATGGAGCGCAAGCGTTTGCGAGCAGGTTCGGGCTTTCCGAATGCCAAGCGTCCTAAGATCTCCTAAGAATGGCCCGGTGGTGAATATATCCGCATCCAATCTCTACAAGCAGCCGGTATGCTGCGACTTCGTTCTGCGCCGGCCGTCTTGACTCTCGACCATATGTCGAGACCCCGACCAGTTAGGTCTCGAGGGAAATCGGTTCAATCACCCGCAACTGTTTCAGTCTGCGACGGACATTTGATCAACCATTCTAGCAAATTGTCCTCGGCGATTCGCCAACTCCGCGCAATGCGCGTCTCTATACACAATCTCCAGCTCGGGTTGTTGTGATTCTCGAGTTCTGGAAAGCACAAGTTTCTTGATGTTGGATGATGCTTCTTAGATGACGTGACTGTTCGTTCCGATCCGAGGGAGTAATGCCATTCTCCTCTCCAACTTACACTAGGCCTTTTAACTTATGGTTCAATAGCGTAGATAGCTTTCAACACTTCTTCACAATTAGGGATAAATTCACCCGTTTTCAATCTTGTCTCAGTAATCAATATCTTGGCCATTCTATTTGCTTGTTAATAGCAGACTCTATACCACAGCCTGAGCATAGACCCGCCATCGCTATGGGCACCTTTTTTCCTGTCGGATAGCTTCGCGCAGAGGAGTCTGTGTACACAATTGTCTAGTAGACCTTTCTGCTGCGATGCCTGAGGCATATCACCTTGAAGTGCACCACTAGGGCTTTCCTTTACAAGCTGATATGTGAACATTATTCAAGTGTCATACTTTGTCCAGAGGATAGCTCCATTCGAGGATATATATTGCCATCACCAGGAGTAGGTATAATGCTGGTAACTAATATGCCCACCAATATCACAAGCAGTTTGTTCTGGTCACTAAGATAGTTGCAACGACTTTAGTATTAAGCAATATGCATAAACTTGGAACTGCATTAGAACTCCTGGCTGTTTGTGTATAGATCCTCTATACGGGAAGAATCCAACTTTTTCTCTTAGTAGGTTTCATTTCGTCTTCTATATCTAATTAAACTGCCTGCATAAACAACATCGGAGGCCCGGGTGGTCTAGTGGTATGATTCTCGCTTAGGGATAAACCCAAGCATATCTGCGAGAGGTCCCGCGTTCGATCCGCGGCTCGGGCCAGCCTTCACTTTTTGTTTCGCATTTTGCTTTTTGTTTGATTCAAATTACCGGCAAAGCCAGGCCACCAACATCGACTATCCGTTCTTCTTGATTGTGACTCGAGCGCGCTATCCACAATCCGTGACGAAGCAGACAGAATGCGTTGACTGTTCGCCGTTTGCCAGTGACTCAGTCAGTCACGTGCCATACAGGGACTGGCCCCGATGATGTACAAGACAATATGTACAGACAAGTCCTTAACCACCTTTTCAAGCTGCATATAGAGGGACGAAGTACTGGAGAGGCAAATCCTCACCAAAGAGCAAGTGATAAGCAGGTTCACTGCGTGTCCAAATTTTCGGGTTCTCTTCCCGAAGCCGAAACCGCAATCCTTTCCCCATGATCTCTGCTTCTAGATCTCGTTACTCATACTTCGTCAATTTCATCCAATTCTTCCAAAGACACACACTGTGGGCTCATCACTATCGAAATAATCTAACAAAATGGCATCAGAACGTACACTTGCGTTCATTGGTTGCGGTACCTATAGGAGGCCCCCCTTGATTGTGCGTCTGTGGAACTGACCATTTGAAAGGAAATATGGGTTCAGCTATCCTGAGCGGCCTCCTTGACGCGACCCGTCCGACGACAGATACCAATGGTAGTGCATCAGCAAAGATCTCACGTTTTATTGTGAGCACGAAGAGCGCTGCATCTGCCCACAGACTCTGCGATGAATTCAGAGAGGATGAATGTCGTGTTGACATTAGACATTCGCAAAATCATCTCGCCATGCAAGGGGCGGATATTGTCCTGCTTGCCTGCAAACCTTATCTGGCTGAGGAAGTTCTGAGTGAGCCTAGTGTGCGGGAGGCCCTAGCAGGGAAATTGGTGATCAGCATCATGGCGGGAAAAACACCTGAAGCTATTGAGAAGTATATATATGGCGATTCGCCCGCAGACGCAGTCGAATCGAAGGCGATCATTGTGAGAGCAATGCCCAATGTTGCAGCTCGTCTGCGTCAGTCGATGACGATCATCGAGATCAACAATAGTCTTTCGCTTGACCTGACCGACACCTTGACCTGGATTTTCGAACAGATTGGAAAGGTGAAATTCCTGGCGCCAGATTTGTTTGATATCGGCACAATGCTTGTGGGTTCCTCCATTGCTGTTCTGACTGTTCCGTTGGATGGCATTCTGGATGGCTGCGTTGCGGAGGGAATCCGAAGAGCGGACGCGTTGGAAATGGCAGCACAGAACTTGATCGGAATGGCTGGTTTGTTGCGAGAAGGGGTGCATCCAGCTATCCTAAGAGAAAGTATCTCTTCCCCACGGGGTTGTACAATACAGGGTCTGTTGACCGTGGAGAAGGAGGGCGTGAGAGGAGCGTGTGCACAAGCAATGATCAACGGAGCTAGACATCTAAAGGAAATTCCTTGATAGTTCATGTGATATAGAAAAGAACTACCTAGAACATAGATGGAAATCGACCTGTAAGAATGAGGGAACTTCTTAGTGGCTTGACTGTCTGGACTCTGGAATGTAGCGCGGGATCTCAAACCGAGACTTTGTCGGAAGGGAGTCCGAGGTCATCTGTACAAGACATGAATCGAATCATAAAATGCGATCAGAGTGTTCCTGGCTATTTTCATCCCAACACCAATCGGGGACCAGGCCGTCATGCAATGATCTACAGCAATTGGACTGACTGGCAGACTTGACCCCTCACGTACGAAGAGAGAGAACAGGACAGAATGAAAGATAAATAGCGACATAGACGCAATGTAGTAGCTGTGATTTGAAGCGTCATTGTTGGAAAACCTCAAGATGTCAGTGATATCCTTAGTGCCAAAGCGACCCAGCATTGTGTCCTTGATTGCAGTCAAACAATTACAGTGTCCAGTTTCAACATCGACAACAACACCTCCCACACAGCGGCCTCGAGATGCCATCATTTCACAACCACCGCCGTCACCAAGGAAGGCACCTCTCTCAGTTCTCCCAACAGGAACCCTTCTTCGCTCGCTTTTGTTTACATCCGTCATATCCTCTCCCTTACTGGGCCCCTGTTTATCAATGCTGAAATACGTGGTGGATTCCAAGTCTCCCCTCCTCAATCCATCAAAGAACCCGCTGATAGATTACCTCCTTCGAAAAACAATCTACAATCACTTCTGCGCGGGTACAAACGAAGCTGAAGTACGCAAGTCCGTCCAGGATATAAAGAGCCTAGGATTCAAAGGTGTTATTCTTGGATACGCCAGAGAGTCAATCGCGAAGGCGGACGAACACGACACCAATAGCTTTCAAGTCGAGAAAAGCCAACAAGCAATTCAAGACCAAGCGGTGGAGGAATGGAGACAGGGAAACCTACGGACACTGAAGATGATTGGCGCAGGAGACTTCCTTGGAATCAAGTAATAATCCTTGTCCACGATCAACAACTGCGCCAACTCAAACAGAGGACTAGCTAACAGAAATCAGATTCACCGGCGCAGGCCCCAAAGCTGTTGAAGCCCTTTCTCGCGGGGACCTCGCTCCACCTCCCTCTTTCGCGCAAGCCATTACAGAGATCTGCGAGGCCATAGCATCCCAAAACTCCGGTCTCTGGATCGACGCAGAACAGCAGGTCTTCCAGCCGACGATCGACGCCTGGACAATTGACCTCATGCGAAGGTTCAACCGAAACGGGAAGATAGTCGTCTACAACACCATTCAGGCGTATTTGAAATCCTCGACTGAGAACGTCCATCGGCACCTTTGCCTAGCTCAAAAGGAAGGATGGACATTGGGGATCAAGCTTGTGCGCGGGGCCTACATCGCGCATGATATCAGATCCCGGATACACGATACCAAGACCGATACCGATAACAGCTACGACTATATCGTGGAGAGCCTTTTATCACGGAAATTTCCACTTAAAATAGCGTCTGATAATGCGTCAGCGTTTCCGGATGTACGGTTGTTCGTGGCATCTCATAATGCGGAAAGCGTGCGCAAGGCGTCGACACTGTATAGACAGAGGATTCACGACGGTCAACCCACGATTCCACTTGAGATTGGCCAGTTGCAAGGAATGGCAGATGAAGTGAGCTGTGAGCTGTTGGCTGAGAATAACACTGGTGAGTCGGAGACACCGACCCCTGGAGTATTCAAATGCCTGGCTTGGGGGACAACGGAGGAATGTCTCCATTTCCTGTTGCGAAGAGCGATTGAGAATGAGTCGGCCCTGGAAAGGACCAAAGACACGGCAGTAGCAATGCGACGGGAAGCCCGGAGGAGACTTGGGTGGTGAGACATCAGCATGCAAGGAGCACTTCAGCCATTCTTCGCCGGGATTCCTTCTCTGGATGAATACACGTCGTATATATTGCTTTTCTGCACGCCACATCAAGACGGACCAAGCGTCCACTAATCATGCTGCGACAACAAAGTCGAGTTACCTGTCACGCGAGCTTTTTCTCAGTAACACAAAATGCGGGGAAGTACTCATGCTTCTCTCTTTTGGCCATCGGCAGCTGTACCGAACTCTCGAAAGACTGAACTCGGGAGGGATTCCGTGCTGTTCATTATAGTCAGTGATCACCCTCTATGCCGTCAGATAGACGGTTTAATAACTACTCATTCTCAATTGGATTCTCATAAAGGTTGGGATTTCCAGTGCCTAATGTAAAGGACATCGTCTTCCAGTTTCTTCTAATACATCATACCGCAAGATCATTTGGGAAGCCGAGCTTGAATCTCAGGTGGCACATTATCCTTGCCAATAAAACGGATCCACCGTCCAGTATCCTCGAATTCATCCTTGACTCCTTCAACCACCTGGTTGTTCGCCGTTATCTGGCCCGCCAAACCGACGACTCCAACCTCCTCAGCGTAGATAGACCAGAGTCTCAGCAACCCATGAAAGATTTCAGGCTTCTCCTTGCTCAAATCGTGCGTCTCTCCAGGATCCTCTACAATGTCAAAGAGCTCCCACCGCTGCGGGCCACGAGGGAGAGGAACATAGGTAATCTTGTACCGTCCCTTCCGCAGGGCACCACTTCCAGCGATTTCCCAGCCCGTAACATGGTCGTTGCCATGGATCGATGATGGCGCAGTGGAAGTATCTGTGCCGGCGACGGCTATGGCATCCAGGAACGGCCTCCAACTGACACCACGAACACGCTCGATCTTCCGTCCTCGATATGAGGTTCCCGGATGTTGCAGCCCAGCGTATTCCAGAATAGTCGGGACAATATCCATCACTGTACAAAAGGCATCAATGGCGCGGCCACCCTCATGCAGGGCTTCCGGATTACCCGCTGGCTTCACCACCAAAGGCACACGGCAACCACCTTCCGTGGAGAACATTTTGTAGAGTCGCGATGGGGCAGTAGCTGCTTGGGCCCAGCGGCTGCCGTACCACACGTACGAGTTTGGTCGCCCGATATTCTCCAACGAATTATCATAGTACTTCTCCAGATGTGCGGTGATACCACTGCCGCCGAGAGGCGATGCCTCGTAACTGGCGCCCTCGGCACCATTATCTGACATGAAGCAGATGATGGTATTGTCGTATTCACCGGACTGTCGTAAATAATCCACGACTCGGCCGATATTCTCATCCATCACTTCGACCATCGCGGCGTAGACTTCCATCGCACGAGCGGATTTTGCCCGCTCTTCGTCGTTCATCTTCTCCCAGTCAAGGTCTCCCGGTCCCGTCACAACTTCGTGGGGCACAATGTCCGGCGCAACCAAGCCCAGTTCCTTCAGTTTCTCGAGCCGCTTAAGTCTCAATGCAGCTGGGCCATCATTGTACTTCCCGCGGTACTTGTCCACGTAGGACTTGGACGCTTGCAGAGGCCAGTGTGGAGCAGTGAAAGGGAGGTAGGCGAAGAACGGCTTCCCTTTCTCCGACTCCGGACGCTCGGAAAGATATTCAATGACTTTTGAAGCGTACGTCTTGGAAGAATAGAAGTCCTCTGGCAGCTTCGTTGAATATTCCGCGTCTTCCATGTGGAGAGCTGTCACAGTTGACTGAAAGAAAGGGTGCACGTCCGCGACAATGTCATCATACGGAGGCTCATAGCCTTGGGACGCGTTAGCAACCCTTAGGTTCAGAAAGGGAATACAGCTTGCACGAACTAACCATAATGATTCGCCGCACCAGAAAGCATAGCGTACGATTTGACAAAGCCCCGAGCATGCGGCGAGTACTCCCGCTTCAAACCCAGGTGCCATTTCCCCGACATCAAAGTATAGTAGCCTCCGTCGCTGAGCAGCTCCGGCAACGCCACAACCCTCTCGTTCAAGTACCCTTCATGGCCCGGGGCGCCTTGGTGAGCGCGAGACCTGGCAATATACTCTGGCAATTGGCCTAAACCGGTCAAATGGTGGTCTGTTCCAGTCATGAGCATGGAGCGCGTGGGAGCGCAGGCCGCAGCAACATGAAAGGAATTGAACCGCAGTCCACCCGGCGAATACGCCAAGGCATCGATGTTAGGGGTATTAATCTCGGATCCAAAGCACCCGCAGTCGCTGAAGCCGAGGTCATCGGCGACGATGACTAGGAAGTTAGGCCGGGATGTCATCTTCAATTGACAATCAGGCCGGGAAACCGCAAGCTGAGAATATAGACCCAACTGGTACTCTCAAAGGATMATTGTCGAACGATGCGAACAGCAACTGTTTATATATATATATATGCCTGTATAGTCGCCAGATGATTGGTCGCAAAACCGTCGGGAACGCAAGGACTCCACGTCGGCTATAGCCTGCAACATGTCAATGCCCAATCACACAAGTGAAGAAACTCAGCCATACCCATCCCACAATCAAGCCAAGCTATTGCACCATCGCAGAGTAAAATGGCCAATCGTATCAGGACATGCTATACCTTGCTTCCAGACTGTATCAGTTGTGTTATGGGGTAAACTGGAGGACTGCCAGTGGAGTCAGCGGAGTCAGCAAATCACCAATTTAGAATCCACCTTATCCATGTCGGTTCGGTGTCATTCGTCTCGACTTCATATTAGATGCCGGGACGAGCAATCAAATGAATATTCCTGCTAGTGTTTCTGAAATCGTGCTGCCATAAGCCGCGACGCGGTAAGCTGCAGGCCCATCCTACTTGCCAACTCGAAGGTGTCCGACAGAATTGACGAACAGGAGAAGAACACATTTGCTCTTCTTCCGATTGCCTCGAGCAGTTGGGACATGCGGGGGTCTTGTTATGTATGGCCGGCAAGGAAGAGCAGGCTGGGGATTGACGGATAAGCGATTGATTGACTATGCTGACAGCGTTTAAATTAAATGCTTTCGAGCGGGAATCTCGGGTTAAGAAGATGGACTACTAATGGGTAAATGTTCTCTATCACCAGTCCAATGGATGCAAGATGATGATGTTAGTCGATGCTAATCAAAGTAGGATAACAGCGCACCTCTGTCATCAATGC